TGAGTTCTATAGTTTCTTTGTTCAGTTTTTGTTTGGAAAATCTATCAGTGATGAAAGAGGTGTGTTAAAGTCACTCAAAATCATTGTGTTGTGTTGTGGTCAATTTGACTCTTGAATTTGAAAGGAGTTTGATGAACATAGATGCTCCATTGTTTGGGGCATATATATTTATATTTGTTATATCTTGTGGATGTGTGGTTCCCTTGAGCAGTATAAAATGTCCTTTATCCCTTTTGATTCACTGTAATTTACAGTGTACTTTATTTGATATGAGAATGGAAACCCCTGCTTGCTTCCACAGTCCATGTGAGTGGTATGATTTTTCCCAACCTTTCCCCTTCAGTCTGTGGATGTCTTTTCCTATGAGATGAGTCTCTTGGAGGCAGCATATTGTTGGACCTTTTTTTTTTTTTAATCTAATCAGCTAGCCTATGTCTTTTGATTGATGAGTTTAGGCCATTAACATTCAGGGTTATTATTGAGACATGATTTGTATTCCCAGCCATTTTTGTTTATTTTTGTTATTTAACTTGACTTTGTTTCTCCTTTGATTAGTTTTTCCTTTAGTGTAATACCTCCCTCTGCTGATTTTCATTGTTGTTTTCATTTCCTCTCCTCTTCATAGAATATTTTGCCAAGGATGTTCTGTAATGCAGGTTTTCTAGCTGTAAATTCTTTTAACTTTTGTTTATCATGGAAGGTTTTTATTTCATCATCCAATCTAAAGCTTAATTTTGCTGGATACAAGATTCTTGGTTGGCATCCATTTTCTTTCAAAACTTGATATGTGTTGTTCCAGGATCTTCTTTTCAGGGTCTGGTTGAAAAATCTGTACATAACCTAACTGGCTCCCCCTATATGTAATCTGATTCACTTCTCTCACGGTTTTTAATATTCTCTCCTTATTCTGTATGTTAGAAACTTTTATTATAATATGCCTTGATGTAGATTTGTTGTGATTTTGTATGTTTGGCACACTGTAAGTCTCTTGTATTTGGTTTTCCAATTCATTCTTCATGTTTGGAAATTTTTCTGATATGATTTCATTGAATAGATTGTTCATTCCTTTGATTTGGAATTCTAGGCCTTCCTCTACCCCCAATAACTCTTAAATTTGGTACTTTCATGTTATCCCATAATTCTTAAATGTTCTGCTCATGGTTTCTTACTACTTTCACTGTGTGGTCCACATTCTTTTCAAGATTATACATTTTGTCTTCATTGTCTGAGGTCCTGTCTTCCAAGTGCTCTAATCTGCTGGTGATGCTTTTAATTGAACTTTTAATTTGGTTTATTGTTTCTTTCATTTCAAGGATTTCTGTTTGGTTTTTCCTTAGAACCTATATCTCCTTATTGAAGTAATCTTTTCCTGTATTTGCCTGTGTAACTCTTTGTCAAATGATTTTTTGCTGCCTGTATTTGCTCTCTTATATCATCTTTTAATTCACAGAACATTTTAATTATGTACATCACCAATTATTTCTCTGTCATTCCTTCTGCTGTGCTGGCCATGAATTCTAATACTGTGGTATCTTGATTTGTTTGAGCCACTTTCGTCCCTTGTCTTTTCATGTTACTCATGTGTCTTCCCTTCTAGCACTGTGGATCTGAGGCATTACCGTTTTTACCCTATAGGCTTATAGTTCCTCTGTCGGGTTCCAATACCTCTCCTTTGAGGGGTAGGACAATGTTAGCAAGTCCCAATATAAACAATATACCACCTAAAAACAAATAGTTGCTAATAAGCATTTAGGGTTTTGTCATAATATTCAGAAACGGTAAATTCAATTATTATCTATAATATAATCAGTAGGTTTGTAAAAGCGTTTACAGTTTCTGATGGTGGACAAAGATCCAGGTGTGAGGTGTAGGAAGATATGCTGAGGAGGTAGGAGGTGAGGATATAGAGTTATTATATCATAGGAAGTGTGAAAGAGAAATCTAAAAAAGAAGATTAGTAGCAGGTGAGTAGAGAGGAAATTTGGGGTAGACAAGTAAGTGGGAATACAGTAGAGTACATAAAACAAACATATATATTAAGAAAAATAAAAATTTTAAAATAGTAAAAATTGGAGGAAAAAAATAAAAGAATATATAACACAACTGTAATATACTATTCAGTCATCTCAGTCCTCAATACCCTATTTCATGCAAAGTACTTGGTTTCACATATGTTGGGGATGTGAGGGTGGAAGAAGAAAGAAAAAAAAATCTCAAAGGAAGAAACAAGGATTGTTTTGGTTGGAGATCAGTATCTTTCCTGCTTCCTTTCTCATCCAATAAATGGGGTCATCTCTTATTAGCTGGTATTTCCACCCTCAGGATGGTGAAGGTAACCAGGGAGAGTGGGTTATTCCTGGGTGGAGGGCACCTGGAAGTGGGGTGTGGCACTCGCTGGTCCCCCAAAAGGAGACTGCACCTCAAGGATCTCTTTTTGGAACTGCTCCTATGAAGTGAGCGTCTGGTCTTATCTCCTTATTTCAACCGGAGACTCCCAGTTCCTAGTCCCTGTTAGTCTCTAAACTGTATCACACTCACCCCCTCCATTACGGCTTCCTAATTAGGAACCTTTCTCTCTCCTGAGCTCCTGATTGTGGTGCTTTGGCACATGCTGTGCACCTGCCCCTGTGAGAGCTGTTTTTTTTTGGGCAGACACTGCACGGCAGTTGCTGGGGAAAGAAGGGAGTTAGAAACCGGGTACCTGGCCAGTCGAGTTCCAAACTGGGAGTTGCCCCCAGTAAAGATGGTAATGAAGGTGATCCAAGATGGAGGCATTTGCTTTCAGTGATGGGGTGTCAGGTCAGTCAGAGGAGCCGGGCAATGGTGTTGGATTATGAGTTCAGAGACTGGGTCTGTGGCATGCAGCATGTGGCTGTGGCTGTCTTCAGAGCCAGTGTGAAGTTCCCTGGTACAGGTGGGCTACTGCAGGTAGGAGACTATCTCCATTGCTGCAGAGTCCCAAGATGAAGGCGACAGGGGGAACTCCATGTTGGTTGATGGGGGTCCACACAGGAGTGGTGGCTGGAGATCCTGCTCGTGGGTAGCTGCCAGGTGTCCTGCATGGGAGCTGCATCTGGGATTTCTGCTTTGATGGGTGGCAGAAAGTCTTACGCAGGTGCTGATGGCAATGATCCCACTTGGACACCCGGTAGTCCTGCTTGGGAGAGTAGTTAGGAGACCTACTCTGACCCTGAGGCCTGGAGCCTTGCACGGGCACCTCAGCCATGATTCCTGTGTGGAAGCAGGAATATCACTCACAGAGAAGCAGTATTCTCACTTCTTGAGTCCCAGGTCACAGAGTGACACAGAAAGCTGCCTCCCTCAGGCCCGCCATCTTGCAGTCTTGGGATTCTCAATGTCTCTCTCTGAAAAATGGAAATGCCATAATTTCTACACCATGATTTTTCTTATATGTCCTCCAAAATTTCTAACAGTTTAATGATCTCTAAATAAATGTTTTTGAAATGCATTTATAAGTAAATAAATATAATAAAAATACAATACGCTGATTACTTTTTAAGTCCTGACTGAAAAAAAAAGGCTCTTTTTGTAGATAAAGTATGTCCTTTGTCTTCCAAAAAGAGTATAAGGTTCCTAAGGACACAGTGCAAGTGGTGAGGATTGAACCCAGTGCCTCAAAAACACATGCTTTTTGAGAAAAGAATGGATGAAAGAATGAATGCATTTTTAAGAACACACTAAACTTTCACCTAGATCCTTAAATCAAACCCAAATATTTAACAATTTACCTTTACATAATACAAACATTTAAACAGGACATGAAGTATAATCTGGAATCTAAACCAAGTTAGAATCATTATTAGAAAGGATTCTCAGCTAGGGTGACAGCCAGCAGCTGAGGGTTGACTTCAGATAGTTAAGCAATCATTGATGCTCCATCACATGACCACTCTTCTGATCCAAATCTCTCCTTTCCCAGTTAGGGAAACTGACTTGGAAAAGTTATCAGTGGTTCATGCAAGAGACCCCAGCTTCTTTTGTCTTGGCTTTTTTGTTTTTGTTTTGTTGTTATTGTTGTTGTTGTTGTTGTTGTTGTTGTTGTTTTTAACTTGGCTTGTTTTGTTTTTTGTACAGTACATTGCTTTTGTTTTTTTAAAAAAAATTAAAATTTAGAATTTTTCCAGTAGAGCCACAATTATGGGGCACTGGTCTACGACAAACAACTTCTTAAATTGTCATACAAGGGGAAATCTTTCCAAACAACTTATTGGGAGTGGAAATGACCACTTCTTGAGTAAACATAGTTCAACTATAGATACTAATTAGCAGTTCCCTTAATAATTAATTTTAAGGTGGTGAATGTAGGTAATGATATATTTAAAATCACAAAACTGAGCTTTTGAGTGTATTTTAAACAGAAAATACTGTTCTCTTTTTTTTTTTCAGATGTTGATGGACTTTTATTTTGTTCATTTATTTGTATGTGGTGCTCAGAATTTAACCCAGTGCCTCACACATGCTAGACAAGCGCTCTACCACTGAGCCACGAAAACATTGTTTTCATTGTCATTAAAATCAAATGCCTTCTGATATTTATTAAATAAAAATAAACAATATAGCACTGAGGTTGTAGCTCAGTGGTAGAGCGCTTGCCTGGCACAAGTGAGGCACTGGGTTCAATCCTCAGCACCACATAAAAATAAGTAAATAAAGATATTTTGGCCACTTACAACTAAAAAATATTTTAAAATAAAGAATATAAATTAAAATCAATTTTCTCAAAATTTTATTATTTTTAAACTTTTGTCAGAATTATAATGTAATCTAAATTTAAGAAAATCTGAATATATTTAACAATACAAAATTGACAAACCTAATTCAAATGATATGAGAGTGACATAGTGAAGTAAAATGTTTCCTGAAATCTAGTACTAAAGTAAATACAGTTTATAGTTATTTATGTTGTAATTTAAAAGTAAGAAAGTGAGGGAAATCAAATTAAAAAAAAAAACAACTATGTACATTTACATTTATTTCAGGTCACTCCAGTGGAACATCTTAAGAAAGCTTCCTCCTGATGGCTTCAGGAAGTACCACTATCTTCAAAAGCTGTAAGAAAAAATTAAATTCATGATATCAATATTAATATTTTTGGGTGGTAGAACCCAACATTTATACCATCACTTAAATCTAATTTCCCTTCAGGGAATTATTTAGCTGTTACCTGGAGATTTTTCTGAATAGTTCTAGAAGGCATTCCAGAAAAAACCTGAGATACCTATTCCCAAAGAGATGGGAGCATGTGTGCTGTGAATTCTCTATCACACTTCCCCAAAGTGGAAATATGTACACAGGTTCTTTTACTCTGTATGAGCCTAGCGTGGATCCCCTCAATGTCCAGCTTAGAGAACAATGCAATGATCTTTTGCCAAATTTGCCATCAAGACTAAAGAGTGAAGAATTTTCTTCCATATGTTCACAAATCTGGTCTCCACATGACACAGCAAGTCATGGTTTGAAACCTCTGGGCATGTTCTGGGGGACTTGATTCCATTTCACATTGGCCTTGTACGTCATTTTATGTTGGCCTCAGGTGGTATCTGACGTGATTTTTCCCCTTCATTTTAGAATTATGTATGTACTCTCAACATCCACAGTGACCCAGGTGATGTTTAACTGTGATTCAGGTTAACTTTGTGATTAAATCTTATTGTCATATACTTGAATTATTGTGTTAACTCTGTCACTAAATCACAGGCGCTAGAAAACATCTCAGAGTTCCTCAGATCATTTTTATAGATGAATTGGTTTTAGTTTTCTTTTTATACTAGAGAAACCTGGTGTAGTAATACATATCTGAACTTTTTTTAATTTTTTTTAGTTGTTGGCAAACCTTTATTTTATTTATTTATTTATATGTGATGCTGAGAATTGAACCCACAGCCTCACACATCCTAGGCAAGCTCTCTACCACTGAGCCACAACCCTAGCCCCATATCTGCACTTTTTTAAAGAGAACAGGTAAAAATAGAATAAAATCAAAATTTAAAAAAAAATCTACACATTCAGTTAAATGTTCTAAAACCTTATATAATCTGCAGAAAAAAATTATTTTATACTTGAAAATTAAAATTTGAATGCAAATGACTTTTTAGAACTTCTTGCTGAACATTAATCAATATACAGAGAAGAGCTTTTCAAACTTAACCCTCTACTAGAGGCCCTGGCTTTGATCCGCAACACCAACAAAAATAATAACAACAATAAAAAATTAAATAAATTAAATTTTAAAATTAGACCTAATACAAAAACTTCAAGAAGTTACTTTCTTATTTTAGTTTCTAATTTCTGAAGTCTAAAGAATTTTTCTGATCTGTAGCACCACCTTATGTTCATATGTTTAAAAGGAGTTAGACTACAAGTCTATCAAATGCAGGTTTACATAACACAGAAGTTGAGCATTTTTGCACAACGAATATTGAATTAATTCTTAAACAGCCAATTTGTTTCAAGTAACAAAATGATCAAAATAATTTTATAACAAAAAGAAGAAGAAAGCTTCTACTTGATTATTGAAAGTATAGCTTGACTAAGTCATTACAATAGTTACAATAAACATATAAATATGTTAAAGCTTTTCTTTGAATTAGTGAGAAAGATGAATTACCTGTTACATGATTAGGCCCACAGCATGTCATATGAAATTTTTAGATGCATAGTAAATTTCATAAAACATTTTACAATCAAAGTTACATTTTTTTGCATGTTGGAGAATAGCAAATCTATTCTGGTTATTGATTTCCCCTCTATTGTTCCTAAAATTTATAATGAATTATATATAAATTTAGAACACCCTAAAGAACAAAGGCGACCCACATTCCAAACAAGAATGCAGGCTTGCTACCCTTATTTTGTCATTTCCCACAACCTAGGACAAATAACACATAGAAATGCAAAGGTTTATGTGGGCTGATGCAATACAATAGACTATACTCTGATACCTCTTTCTTTTGACTTCCAGTTAACTGAAGGTCAAACTGCCAGCATTACTTGAGTTGCCTATATAAGCCTGCATTCTTATTTTGACACTCACTCCAGTCTAATTTATATTCTTTCAGACTTGACTTTTTTAGTTATATTTTTTACTTTTGCCATTTACATTCCTTGTAAGTTGCCTCAAATACTTTTGGAACAAGGCTTAGGGTGTCAAACTAATAAAATTAAAGTTGATTGGCTTAGATGATTTGTGATTAACATGGAATATTCTGTGTGGTATTAAAGCTGTCATACACTTATAATTTTGCCAGCACTGTGTTAATTTTAGTTATTATCTACCTCTTTTTTTTACTTAATTTTATTTTTTTTAATTTTTTTTATTATTAGTTGTTCAAAACATTACATAGTTCTTGACATATCATATTTCATACATTTGATTCAAGTGGGTTATGAACTCCCATTTTTACCCCGTATACAGGTTGCAGAATCACATCGGTTACACATCCACGTTTTTACATATTGCCATACTAGTGTCTACCTATTTATAACCAGAATTTCTAAGTAAATACTAGCCAAATTATACGTGAATTTAATAGCAAAACAAAAGGACATGGAGCTGGGGTTGTGGCTCAGAGATACTGTACTTGCCTAGCACATATGAGGCCCTGGGTTTAATCCTCAGCACCACATAAAAATAATAAAATAATAAAGATATTGTGTCCATTTATAACTAAAAAACGTTTTTAAAAAAAAAGACATGATATCCACTTTCTCTATGTTATTTTATTATGTTTAACTTTTTTCCAATTTTTAAATTTTGGTTCAATACAGATAACATAAAATTTACAATATTAACCATTTTGAAATATATTTTAAGAGGCCTTAAGAACGTGAATTATTATGCTACCATCAGCCCCATCCATCCTCAGAATGCCTTTCATCTTGCAAAACTGAAACTGTTTCATTGTTTTCCTTATTAATAATCATTTTCAGGTATCTGCAACACAATAAGATTAGGTCTGTATCCATCTCTGCTTTCAAAGGACTGCACAGCCTTACTAAACTGTAAGTACCACTGCTAATTCATTTGCCCATACCACAGTGTTCTATCAGTCTGACCTATTCCAATCCATCCCAGCCCACTGCTCAGGACAATGCCAAAGGACACATGGCATTGTGGCTGAGCATGGGATTCAGAGTCAGACAGATTTTGATCTGAGTTCTCATTTCATCACTTACTAAGAGTGACCTTGAGAAAGTTATTTATTTGTTTGTTTGTTTGTTTGTTTAGTAAGCATCAGTTCCCTCTCCTGTAAAATACAAATTATAATAGTACCTTCCTCAGGATCATGGTTGGAAACAAATGAGAAAATTCCTAGGCAGCATTAAGTACTCTGAGCCTAACACGTAGTAAGCACTCTATGTAAATTAGCCAGGGAGACATGATGGTTGAATGAACTTAGTCAAATTTAAAAAGCCTAATGGCATATTCATAAAGAATAAAAAATGCAAGGACTTCCCCAGTTACTCAGTTTTGTTTGTTTTATTTTTGCTTTTTGTTGCTAAAGATTGAACAAGGACTTCGTGCCTACTAGCATGCACTCTGCCACTGAATAATATACCCCCAGCCCTTCAGTTATTCTTTTTTAACTAATCCTGCTTTTATAAATACATAAAGCACCATAAGTTTTAAAAAAAAAACAAAGATTTTGCCAGATGTGGTAGTGCACACTTGTAAGCAACTTAGTGAGATCCTGTCTCAAAATTTAAAAAAATGAAGGTTGGAGATGTAACTCAGTGGTAAAGTGCCCCTAGGTTCAGTCCCCAGTACCAAATCATCATCATCATCATCATCATCATCATCATCATCATCATCAAAGATTTTTATTGTGGTAAAATATACATAATATAAAATTTACCATTTTAGCCATTTTAAATGTACAATTTAGTTATTAGAGACAACCACCTTGTTGTGCACCCATCACCACCATCTTCTTCCAGAACTTTTTCATCTTCTCCAGTAGAAACTCCACATCTGTTAAACTGTCCATTTCCCCTGCCTTTAACCCCTGGCATCCACCTTTCTACTTTCTGTTTCTCTGAAGTGACTATTAAAGAACTTCATATAATTGGAATCATAAAATATGTGTTTTTTATCTGATTTATTTCACTTAATGTAATGTTTTTGATGTCCATCCCTGCTGTAGCATGTGTCAGGATTTCCTCCTTTTTTAAGACAAAGAATATTCCACTATATGTATAGACCACCTTGTCCTTATCCATTCACCTGTCTATGAACATTTGGGTTGTTCCACATTTCAGCTATTGTGAATAATGCTGCTATGAACATGGGAGTACAAATCTGTTTGGGTCCCTGCTTCCAATTCTTTTAGCTGTAAGCCCAGAAATGTGATTAATGGATCACAAGTTAGTTCTACATTTGATTTTTTTTTAAGGAGTTTCCATACTGTTTTCCACAGCTGCTTGCACCATTTTCCTTTCTCACCAGCAATGCATAAGAGTTCCAAATTCTCCACATCTTCACCAACACTAGTTATTTTCTTGTTTTGTTTGCTTGGACAATAACTATCCTAATAGGTGTGAAGTGGTACACCATCGTGCTTAAGAGCAAAGCTTTTGTAAATAGAATTTCTCAAAAGTTCCATTTTATGTATTCATCCATTTCGTATCAAGCAGCCTCTTAGAAGAAGTAAATACAACCTGAAATCACATAAATAACTCCCTGGAGTCCCATTTCTGTCCCTTTGGTTTTTATTCTACCTCATTCTCTATCTTAACCCAAGAAACTCGTTCCCATCATATTTCTAGTTCATAATGGCAGAGACTGAAATTTGGCCAAGAATATGTAGCAAGGCCTAACAAAGCAGAGGGAAGCCACAGGAGACTCAAAGACTCATGGAGCCACTGTGGCTGAGTCATTCTGCCTTCTCCCTCACCCCTGCCCTTCTTATGAAAGTGCCCAAAGTCAGTATAGGTAGGACACAGTCTCATCAAGATCCTAACTATGTTTTCTCTCCATGAATCTGTGCAAAACTTTCTAAACAGAATCTCTTTGGTTGATATTCAGTGGATAAGGAGGAAGGTAGCACAAAAACTGAAGAACACATGTCAAAGTGTCCTCCATTTCTTTCCATCTTTTTTTCCCTTGGCACTGGAATATTGCTTGAGGGTTAAAGATGCCACCTAACTCTAGTTTTTCATATATAATCATAAAATACCAACTTTCCTTTATCTAAAAGTACTCATTAACCTCTACAGGGTGCAAGTTCTTCAGGATGACACCACGGGGGCCATAGGATTATGAATCAGACACGCTGCCTCAAGGAGCTGCTACCTGAGTAGTTCAGGCAGAGCGCTGAGCTAAATTGGGGAGGTTCAGTCCTCTTGTTCTCTAGAAGCTTATGATCTAAGATGAGGAAACAACACTAACATGTGCACCATAACTAGAGACTGATGAGGAAAACATTATTCCTAAACCTGTATTGTTCAGACCTAAACCGCTATTAGGGTTCACTGTAAAAAGTGACGGTTTGGGACTCAAAGCAAAGAAGGATGACTCTGAAAAATGAACAGGACTGGGCTACACAGATGAGCATGAAGTAAAACAGCAGATCAATTGCCTTTTACCTGAAGGGATGGTTGTTGGTTCATAAAACAGCCCTCAGAAGGGTTCAGGGGAGGTACTAAAGCTATTTTTTTTTGTACTGGGGATTGAACTCAGGGCCACTCAGCCACCGAACCCCATCCCCAGCCCTATTTTGTATTTTATTTACAGACAGGGTCTCACTGACTTGCTTAGTGTCTCACCATTGCTGAGGCTGCCTTTGAACTCGTGATCCTCCTGCCTCAACCTCCCAAACCACTGGGATTACAGGCGTGTGCCACCGCACCTGGCTCCTAAAGCTATTTCTTACCCATGCCTAGGCCAGCTGGGCTCCAGGTCTACAAAGGAGGGAAGGAAGTGGCTTTAACCTGGGGTGTCAGCCAAGAAAAAGTCAAATCTGGCAACAAAGAACAGATTCCTGGCAAGATTTTATAGGATGTCAACTCTAATACGTAAGAGTACAGAAAAGAAATCTATAGGTTTCATATATCCACAGGAGTGAAATTTGAACTAATAACTTGTATATTAACCACAAGCAAAGAGGAAAAAGAAAAAGAAAGAAATTGGAGTGGAAGACACAGAGACATTGTTGTAATAAATAATACCTACAGAGTGCTATGGCACGCATTGCCCCAAGTGTCACAACAGCCCTATGGAGTAATGTTGATACTGTGCCCATTCTAGAGTTGAGGAAGCTGAAGCTTACAGGAATTGATTGCTTGGTCAAGGTCATGTTTAATAAACAGAAGAGTAAGGAATCAAACTGTTTCATAGCAGATAACATAGAGAGACTGAGATAGAAATAAACACGGCTAAAGGAAAAAAATGAACTCAATATACCAGAGAGTTCATCCACTTTGCAGAGGAGAAATCAAGTTGGATGGGTGAGGCCGTCAAGCTCTTTAACAAAACATGCAATGACCTTTCCCCAGAACAGGCCCCTAGCTCTTCCAGGCCCATCTCCTGTCTGTCCTCACAGCTTCCTTCATGGTGAGGCCTTACTAAATTACCTGGTGATGCCTTAACTTGTTACTCTTTGTACTTCTTGTCTTTGCATAAGCTATTTCCTCTGTCTAAAATAACTCCTGCTTTGTGAATGCCAAGCCTTCATTCAAGACCTTTCTCAGCTGTGCTTCCTTTAGTGAGACTTTTCTGTCTCCTCTCTGTGCTCTTTAGTTCTAACCACTAGTGCTTTCTGCTCTGTAATGTCAAAACAACCCTACGGATACATTTTCCTCTGTTTTCTGTATGTTGCATAATAGCCCATCCACATCCTGTCTCCTCTTCAGATTTAAAGCCTCACAAAGAATAAGATGACATACCTAGCACAGTATCATTGTGTTACTCAACTTTGTGTCACCGTAATGAAATACCTGAGGCAATTCACTTTCCTTAAAAAGGAAAGGTTTATTTTGGCTCACAGTTTTAGAGATTGCAATCTATGATAGATTGACCCCATTGCTTTAGGCCTACCTAAAGCCATCATGGTAGGTGCATATGGCTAGGGAAAAAAAAGAAGAGGAAAAAAAAAAAAAGGAAGGAGCCATGGGTCCCCCAGTCCCCTTCAAAGTCACACCCCCAATGACCTAAGGACTTCTCTCTAGGCCCCATCTTCCATCCACAGCACCTTCCAAAAGCACAAAGCCTTTAACATATGGACCATTGGGGAAAACTTATCCAAGCCATAGTAGTCATAGAATAGGTACTCAAAACAAGTTGATGAATAAATGAGGTCAATGAAAAGAAATTGATTAATTATTATGGGGGAAATTTAAAGCTGGAGATGATACAGTCATTAACAGGCACTCTTAAAGATTCAAAGGCAGGGAAATGGCAGGGTAAGAATGTTATATAAGAACATTTAAAATGAATGATAGCTATTTTACTTTCCTAATTATGAAGTGTTGAAAAGGTACAGATTTATTACAGTCATTTCTCCTTTTCTAGGTACCTCAGTCATAACAGAATAACCTTCCTGAAGCCAGGTGTTTTTGAAGACCTTCACAGACTAGAATGGCTGTATGTTTAATTTATGTAGCATTACGTAGTATTAGTTTTTATGTTCTAAAAATAGATAAGTGAATCAATTTTTTTTCTGCCTGGCAGGATAATTGAAGATAATCACCTCAGTCGAATTTCCCCACTAACATTTTATGGACTAAATTCTCTTATTCTCTTGTAAGTACTAAATTAAAGGAAACATTTTAATTTAAGGGAAAGACATAAATAAAAATTAATGCTTTACAGTATGGAGATTTCTTGGAAAATTGGGAATGGAACCACCATTTGACCCAGCCATCCCTCTCCTTTGTCTATACCCAAATGGCTTAAAAAAAACAGCATACTACAGGGACACAGCCACATTGATGTTAACAGCAGCACAATTCACAATAGCTAAACTGTGGAACCAATCTAGATGCCCTTCAATAGATGAATGGATAAAAAAAAATGTACCATATATACACAATGGAATATTACTAGCAATAAAAGAGAATAAAATCATAGCATTTGCAGGTAAATGAATGGAGTTAGAGAAAATAATGCTAAGTGAAGTTAGCCAATCCAAAAAAATAATAATAATAATGCCAAGTGTTTTCTCTGATCTAAGGAGGCTGATTTATAGTGGGGTAAGAAGTGGGAGCATGGGAGGAATAGATGAACTCTAGATAGGGGAGAGGAGTTGGAGGGGAAGGGAGGGGGCATAGGGTTATAAATGATGGTGGAATGTGATGGACATTATTATCCAAAGTACATGTATAAAGACATGAATTGGTGTGAATATACTTTCTATACAACCAGAGATATGAAAAAAAAAGAATTTAATAATAAAGTAATCCAGACTGGGGGGAAAAAAAGAATTGTAATACATACCACTGTCATATATAAATTAAAAAATTAATAAAAAATAATGCTTTAAACATAATAACATTAAACTTGGAATTATTAAAACCCCAAAAAGGCTTTTCCAACTAAAAACTATCTCTTATTCTTATTCTCTAAGGCTATTTATAATTGTAACAATTTTTGTCTTCTAAGCTGGGCACAGTAATGCATGCCTGTAATCCTGGATGCTCAGGAGGCTGAGACAGGAGGATCACGAGTTCAAAGTCAGCCTCAGCAAAAGCGAGGCACTAAGCAACTCAGTGAGACCCTATCTCTAAATAAAATACAAAATAGGGCTGGGGATATGGCTCAATAGCCAAGTGCCCTTGAGTTCAATCCCCTGTACCCCCCGGAAAAAAAAAAGAAACTTTTTTCTTCTAGAATGTCAGTCTGTCAAAACTGAATATAGTCTATCACATTTTGTTGAACTATTCTTAAGCATATCATTACCACCACACATTGATCTTAGTAAAGAAAAGCAAATTCACTTAAAATCATCTTTTTTCAGTTACTAACTTTGTTGCTTCCTCCATATGATAACTGCTATTTGTAGAAATTTTATTAGTATCAAGCATTTAAATATAACAAGACTCACAGAGTAAATAGAGAAGACAACTAACTTCGCAGATTTGCATGGTTTTATAAGAATAATGATAATACCATGTGTACCTTAAGAAAAGAACCAGAAAAAAAAATGTGACATCTTTGGTTTCTTTTCTTTTTCAGGGTGCTGATGAATAATGTCCTGACACATTTGCCAGATAAACTTTGTCAGCACATGCCAAAGCTACATTGGCTGTAAGTGATGGTATCTCATTTGAAAGAAGTCTACTAAAATCTCTATGTTGCCTAATTCATCTTGTATATTCATCTTGTATTGCTATTATCACATCACATTTTTTCAAATTACTTTGGCCTATTTTTGTATTTTATGTCCCCATTATCTAACTTCTCTAAACTCTCACCAAAATGAAATATCTCAAAACAAAAACAACTTTAGAACCAGGAAACAGAAAGGCAGAAGGGATGTTATGGGATCTACATAATATTTCTCCCTTCCCCCACCAATCTTACCTATTAAGTTGTTACAAAAAGATTTGATCATTTTAGTTCCATTCATTTAGGAATTTAATCTGAATAATGAGAATATGATATGTAGTACTTATCTTTCAAGGCTAATTAGAATAGGTTCCATGGAACTTTTTTTGGTGCTTGATTTTTTTATTCTAATTTGTTATATATGACAGCAGAGTGTATTATAATCCATATTACACATATAGAGCACAATTTTCATATCTCTGGTTGTACACAAAGTATAGTCACACCATTCGTGTCTTCATACATGTACTTAGAGTAATGATGTCCATCGCATTCCATGGGATTTTTATACAATAGCTTTGCTTTTAATAATAAGTGTCATTCTGCTATCCAGAATTTAATTTTATTATCCAGTAAATTTGTCTACTTAAAACACAGGTTTAAAAAAATAAATACCCCCCTCTTCTCTCTCTCTCTCTCTCTCTCTCTCTCTCTCTTTCTTTCTCCCTCCTCCCCTCCCTCACTCTCTTTCTCTTCTCTCCCTCTGTCTCATCTCTCTCTCTCTAAAAATATAAAATTTTAAAAATAACCAAAATAACTATTTAAAAGGCTAATCAACAAACTAATTTACATATATAAAAACTCCTTCTGCCTCTTGTTTTATAAGAAATTCCCAGAAGTTGGTTGTTTGATCTCTATCTTCACAGCAGTTTAGAAGTACCCAATAAAAGGAAGGGTAAAAGTTAGAGTTGGAAACATTGATTGTAGTGAGAAGTATCAACTCTCAAGTTGATAATAGAACACAAGTGAGACATGCATGAAAAGCAAAGATATTTTTTTCAAAATATACTAACTTGGAACCACTTTAGGAAAAAAGAAACTTCACAAAAATAATTACTGGCCAATCATCAGAGGCCTATCTACAATGGGTTGTGAGAGGTGATTTTAACATGAATGATTTTTCCCTTTACTGAGAGTAATATATGGCAGTAATAGTGTACTTAAAAACATTTCCATAAAATGCAATAGTGAGACTATATTCAGTTTGGATGGGCTGACAGTGTAGATAACAAAATGTTTTATAAAATTGTTAGAATTAGGGGCTGGGATTGTGGCTCATTGGTAGAGCACTCTTCTTGCATATGTGAGGCCCTGGGTTCAATCCTCAGCACCACATAAATAAAGGTATTGTGTCCACTACAATCTTAAAAAAATTGTTAGAACTATAAATAGCCTTAGAAATTTGATTAAGAGATGATTTTAGTAAAAAAGTCTTTTTGGAGTTTTAAGTCCAGGAGGTACCTTGGTATGACAGTTAACGTTGATGACAAGCTAGTCATAAAAGGGCAGGCAAATTTATTCAGTATTCTTCATTGTAATTGAATTTTGTTTCAGAGAAGTACATTAACAGCTATTACATGCCTAGCAATCCCAACCTAATAATGAAGCACAATTGATCAGCATTCACATAAGTAAATTAGCAATTAAAAATTTGTGCATTGTGGGAATGGGGGTGTGGATCAGTGGTAAACCACTTGAATAGCATGGGCAAGGCCCTGGGTTCTGTCCCCATCATTAAGAAAAAAACTTGTGCATTAAGATCAGAAACAAATATGAGAGTTATGATATGCCTATCACAATAAATCTTTCTTTTGCCTTTAAAAAAGGCAGCAAATATATATATCATGTATCCGATAATCAAAATGATTAAAATTTATTACTAAAAGGATGGACTTTACAATTTTTTGTTATTATCTATAAATTTGAGCTATCAAAAGTAACTGATAGTAAATATTAGCCCAATTTTAATGTTATTAATAGTTTTTTGCTTCATAAGTATTTATCTACTTCAAAACCATTTACAATATCATTATTTTGTATATGAGTTTCCATTTTGCAAAGTGCAACTAAAAAACCAATTTGTTGGCCAAAAATAAATTTTTAACTCAGATTTCAGGAAAAAAATACATTAAAATAAAAAGATAGAGAACAGTTCAGGAAATTATGCTTCATAATACTTGACAGATAATAGATTAAAATCTTTAATATAGTTCTTTCAAAGCAATGAGATGTAAAAAACCACAATAAAGTTTGGAAAATTCAAAAAGAAAAACATAAAATTAATAAAAAACAGATGAACGTAAGGCAATAGCCAATGTACTCTCCCAAAGGTCAAGATAGTGAAGTAAACTTTTATCCTGAGATGAAACTAAGTCATTTATCCATTGGAAAACTAAGCCAATATGAAGAATTTGAAAATGCAGATGAGGAAGGCAGTAGAAAACAGATAAGCATGGAAAAATAAAACGTGATACACACACATACACAGCATGATAATTAATAAAATAGCACTACTTCAGTCAACATGGCTCAATTTCAAGAATATAATATGGTTCATATAGAGAAATTCACAGACTAGTACATATACTATATTGCAATTCCATTACAGCAATATTGTGCTTAGGATTTAGAAAACTACAAGACAATATTGTTCTCTCTCTCCCAATAAGAAAGAGCTTTATAATCTACAAAATCCTAATTTTCAAGAGCCCATCAGAGAGCTATAAGACAACCAAGTAACTGGAATTCTAAGGAGTTACAAAGAGAGCTGGGACATATATTGTATTTCACCTTTGGCAGAGTGTAGGGATAAACGTTGGCTATCAGGAGAGCAGGTACAAAGAAAACTGCTAAAATTTTAATAAATATATACAGTTAAGCATGGGCTAGTGTAACACTTTAGAATAACTGAGAACAGTGCATTCAGGGGAGTCCACTATCCATAAAGGTTGCTTTTGACTGGCCTCCACCAGCTCACACGAAAAACTAGACAGCTCTCCTTGATAGCACACAGATATAAAATCTGTCCACCTCCCAAGAGATATAACCTTATTTTCCCCTCACCCCACCCAATTCTCTCAATTAAAAAACATTTCTTAAGAAACAAAAGTATTGGAAGAGGAATAGGAAACCCTCCTGCACCCAGGGATTATGCAAAGATCCACTGCTACAAAAGGAGAGGGAGAGACTAGAACACTCTGTGCTCTGGTAGTGGCAGAAAACCTCTGTATCCCAGGATCCTGAACCGACACAGAGCTTCTACGTAAGGGCAGGAAATCATCTGTGTTAGTCAACCTCCTGTCATTGTGACAAAATACCTGAGAGAATCAACTTACAAAGAGGAAAGGTTTATTTGGTTCATGGTTTCAGAGATTTCAGTCTATGGTCAGTTGGTTCCATGGCTTTTGGGCCTGCACCAAGGCAGTATGTCATGGCAGGGAATACTTGAAAGAACAACACTACTCAATTTATAGTAGCCAGGAAGCAAAAGAGACAAAGGAAAGAACTGGAATCACAATATTCCCTCCAAGGGTATACCCCCAAAGTCCTAACTTCCACCCCCTAGGACCCACCTCCTAAAGGTTTTACCACCTCCCAATAGCACCATCAGTTGGGTACCAAGCCTTTAACACATGGGCTTTGGGGGGATGCTATCCAAGCCATGGTCTTATAAGACTGGTTTCTGGGGATGGAAGGAAGCAATGCTGAGAAAGTCCTACTTCCTAAAAAAAGGAAAAATGTAAGTCCAATGTAAAATTATAAAGTAATCAATAAACTGAAAACCCAACCTGGCAATAGCTCAGATATTACAGCTTCCAAGTTGGGATATTAAAATACTTATGATTAATAAGATAAGTGGAAAAGTGAACAATATGTATGAACACATGGAAAATGTCATCGAAGAGGCCGAAATTATAAAATTGTGTTGGAAGATGATAACAACAGTCTTAGCAGTAGACTGAATACAGCTGAGAAAAGAATCAATGACCTTGAAAACAGGACAACTGAAAACTTTCAAATCAAAACAAAAATTTTGTTAAAGTCCAAACAGAGAATCCAAAGCTGCAGGAAAATATAGAATGTCTAACAAACGTATAGGTTAAACCACAGAAAAAGAAGAAAGGAAGAACTGGACAGAAGAAATGGCTACAGAAATAATGGCCCATGATTTTCCAAACTTAAATTAATAAAATAATCCAGGAATGTAGGAACCTTAGAAAATTTCAAGCAGAGTAGGAAAAACACTAGACAAGCCATCACCAAACTGCTAAAAACCTAAATAAAGAAAAAATTCATATGGCAACCAGAAAATAAAATAGAAATATTACATACTGCAAAATAGAGATAGAAATGCAATAGTGATTTTTTTAAAAAGTTAGAGGGTCTATGTTAATATAGGAAAAATAGATTTCAAAACATTAAGGCTAAAAAGGGATACCTTATAAGGATAAAAGAATTGTTTAAGAAGATATACTAATCCTAGATGAGTAAGAAATTTTAAAAAGCAAAACACAAAATGAAAAGCACAGAACCATAAGAAAAATAGCTAGGAATCAGGAGCTATCATTTGAAAATAAGATGGATGGATGATAGACAGAAAGAATATTTGATATTCTGAAGGTGAACTCCAAAAAAGAAAAGCATATACTTGACCAAAATCATATGACAGGAGAGAGGTAGAGGAGCAAAAACGTATACAATATATACTAATTTTATCATCTGATAATAGGAAATTAAATAGTATTGTCAAAAGAAAGAGAAGATACAGTGCATTGGGTAGAGTTATTATGAAGGCAACCAACAGAATTATCAAATCTGGCTAAATTTATCAGAAGAAATACAATTTTTAAAAAAATATTTAATGAAAGTTTTTAACCTATGAAACCATATAATAACAGTATCTTAAAATAACAAACTAAGGCCAATTATATTAGTCATGTAAACAAACCTATTAAAAAGAAAGAAAACTAGGCAAAGACTCAAATAGATGTTTCTCAAGACAGAAAAAGGTACCAGGAATGGTGATGCACACCTGTAATCTCAGCCACTCAGGAGGCAGAGGCAGGAGAGTTCTATCTGAACCCTTAACAAGTTCAAGGCCAGCCTCAGCAATTTAGCAAGACCCTCAGCAACTTTAGTGAGACCGTGTCTCAAAATAAAACATAAAAAAAGAGCTGGCGATGTGGCTCACTGGTTAAGCACCCCCGGGTTCATTCCCTGGTACCAAAAAAAGGCTTCCAGATATATGAAAAAAAATGTTTGACATCACCAGTTATCAGAAAATGCAAATTAAAACTACGATGAAATATTACCTCATACCTCTTAGGAAGACTGATCAAATGACAATTAGTGTTAGCAAGGATGTGGAGAAAAGGGGACACTTACACATTATTATTGGGAATGGAAATTAGTGCAGCCATTGTGGAAAACAGGATAGAGGTTGCTCAAAAAAACTAAAATAGAAACTCCCTGTGTTCAGTTAGCTTTCTGTCATGGTATCAAAATTAATTTTGCTAAATAATAATAATAAATTAACTTATGAAGAGAAAAGATTGTTTGGGCTCACAGTTTTAGAGTTTCCAGTCCATGATCAATTGTCCCATTATTGGCTCTATGATGGCACATCATGGTGAGAGTGCATGCAGAGCAAAACCACTTACATCACATGCTAGGGAGAGACAGAGAGAAAGAAGGAACTGACAGGTAGGGGGATGTTGGGGTTGTAGCTCAGTGGTAAAGCGCTTGCCTAGCATGTATGAAACACTAGGTTCAGTTCTCAGCACCACATAAAAATGAATTTTAAAAAATGGTATTGTGTCCATCAACAACTAAAAAAAATTAAAGAAAAAGAAGGACTTGGAATCCTGCAATCCCTTTCAAGGTCACATCCCCAAGGCTAAGGAGTTCCCTACTAGGACTTATCCCCTGGAGGTTCCACCACCTCACAATAACACCACCTTAGGAATCAAACCTTTAACACATAGCCTTTGAAGACATTTAAGAACTAAATTATAGTCACACATATATACTATAGCCACAATTTCCAGTTGCTTCCCTGAATCAACACATAGCTATGTGTCTAAGCTGTAAGGAGACAGGAGAAGTGGAAGGTGGGATTCCTGAAATGTTCATTAAAGAAAAAGACAAAGGCGATTTCTTTTCCTTTCTCATCCAGGAAAAAAAAAAAAAAGAAGAATATATTGGCTCAAACTTTAGCAAGGGCCCCCACACAAGGACATATGAACAGTGAATATGGAAGATTTTGGGTCTCTAACAACTTTGTAAAACTGTCATACCAGCCCTGTTTTGTTTGTTTGTTTGTTTGTTTTGTTTTTTCTTGAAAGCAAAAATCAAACAAAACCCTGTGTACTTTCTCTACTATGGTTGGGTCTCTATTATATCCTAATAGATATAAACTTGAAAGCAAAAAGTATCCAAAGAACACAAAACTGATTATATATTTTAGGAGATAGACATACACAAACCAGGCTCAACATAACAGATGGAGGGTTGGCCTAGAGCACGAGGAGGGCCATCCTTCCACTGAGACTAAAAGGAGACCAGATAGAGATCAGGTAAATTTGTAGATGGATGGAAAAATCAAAATCCTTCCCTCTTATGAAACAGGAACCAGATAGAGGGTAAGAAGATTTTCATGTTTTGAAATGTCATTAAGGGGTAAACTAGGAAGTTGAAGAGAAACAGGCAAGATTTTTGATGATTTTATAGCTAGAGATGTAGCTCAGTGGTAGAATGCTTGTCTAGCATGTGTGAGTCCCTCTGTTCAATCCCCAATACTGGGGGAGGGGGACGGACTTTGATGTTTTAGGTTTTTGTTATTGTTGTTCTGACCAAATAATGAATTTTTCATTTTGATACAGCTCTACAAAGTAAAAAGAGAAAAATAAAATTGTCAGGTTCAGAGGCTTATTAATTAGGAAAGGTGGTCTAGACATTCTGTGGGAAAATTACCTCTTGTCCTTTAGAACTTGAAGCAAGGAGCAAGAAGCAGATTTTTGTTTTGTTTTGTTCTTTGGTTGATGCTGTTGTTACCTTGGTTAATATATATTCACAAACCAGATTCCCTTATTTTAGGAACAAAGCCGAAGCAAATTTATAACTCAAGGTTAAAATAAACTCAAAATTAAATTAAACAAAGAATTTAATCAAAACTGCCAATTTTGGGGCTGGGATGGTGGCTCAGTGGTAGAGCGCCTGCCTAGCAGATGTGAGGCACTGGGTTTGATTCTCAGCATGGCATATAAATAAATAAAACAAAGGTCCATTGATAACCAAAAAAAAATTTTTTTAAACTTCCTAATTAGTGCTTCAGTGTGTGCCTCTTATTGAATTTTACAAAGTAGTAAATTAGTACTAATAAATATTTTTGCCTAAGGGTTTAAAAAGCAGTTACGTGGGCTAGGGTTATAATTTAGTGGGTTGGATCCTCAGCACTATATAAAAATAAATAAATAAAATAAAGGTATTGTGTCCATCTACAACTAAAAATATACATTAAAAAATATGTAACTAATTAGAACAAAATTTTTAAAGTAATTTAAAAAATATCTATCCCCCCTGCAAAAAAAATCAGTTACCTATGTAGTTCAACTCTATGCTTTGTGAAGTTTGAAGGAGCATCGCCACCTGGTGGGAGATTCATGGTAACAGCAATAAAATAAAAGGAAACAATAGCCTCTGTCATTGACCATGGACATTGAGAAGCCAAAAGCCTGGGCCAAACCCAAGACCAAGAAAGTAACACCATAAGCACTTACCTTCCACTTTAATGGAATAACAAAACTTTTTCTTTATAGGTGTTATCTAGAATAAAGATTTCTGATTCTAATACAATATTCCTTGCAGTACAGAAATCTTATCTACAAAATTATCAAGATATGATATATTGCCTTTGCTAGATGCCAGAGAGAGGGAGCTTATTTATTCTCTGAATGCCATAACTTGCTTCAGAGGTTGAGCTTCTGTTTGAAATGACTTGTATCTTCAGCCAGGAAATTTAATTTTGTGTTCTGATGCAACAGAGAAAAACTATAATCTCTTTCATAGCCTGACTTCAAATATATCTCTTACCTTATCCTTTGCTGTAATACATACTCCCTTTTCTTCAGTTGGTATGGTTTCAAGATCACTTAATCCCAGTTTTACAAATCTTCCTGATATATTTTGCTTTGTCATGTCTATTTTTAATGCAGGGCCCAAAATAAAACTGAGCATTCCCACCACAGACTCACTGACAGAATACAGGCATATCTATTAATGCTACCCATATTTTCCTTAGAGATTTTAGTAATTATATCACACCTCCACCCCTATATTTCAGTCACAATAATTTGTGAATAGCTTGGCAACCAGTAAATTAAGTGTTGGGACACACTAAGTAGACTTAAGGGCCAGGATTTAACTTGGAAATGCAGTGTATCCCTAAACCTCAGCTGTCGTCCTCTGCTCAACAAACTTCTAACATATATCTGCTTGTAAATGAAAGGGTAGGGAATATAGTTCAATGGTAGAGCACTTTCCTGGCATACAAGAGGTCCTAAGTTTGATCATTAGCACCATAACAAATAAATAAACTTTTTGATAAGATTTTGTTGTTCAGATAGGATTCCTTGTGGTGATAAGGTGTGCTCTTTGTGACAATATTAAAAAAGAAAGAAAAAGAGTATAATCCCAGGGGCAAAAAAGTTACTGAAGATATTTTTCTGGGGTATTTTAGTATTTTGACTAACGAGGCAGGTGCCTAAAATTATCTTGATAGTAGCAGCTTTGCAGCAATAATAGAATCTCACACAGCCTATAGCAAAATGATATCATATCACTTAGGGAAATGCCACTTGGTAATTCTGAATAAATGTTTAATGTGTTCACTATTAAATATCTGTTAATAAATTAGGTATTTATCATAACAAAAGTTTTCACTTTGATTTCTCATTCTCTTTAATTTCTCAGAATAACATGTCTCCATGAACATAAGATACAGGAGTGACTCAAAACATTTTTACTATTAATAAAGTAAAAACAGTAACAGTACTAATATATGCCTACATGCATGCATAAAATAATTTATGGTATTATGTAAGTGGCTACAAGTGAAGGTATAAAGTAAACGGAATGTAAAAGAACAATATATTTTATTAGAACACAAATAATTCTTAATCAATTTATTTCTGTCTGCAATTAAAATTTAGCTTGATCATGTTTTATGTTTTATATTCCAGGGACTTTGAAGGCAACCATATCCATAATTTAAGAAATTTGACGTTTAGTTCCTGCAGTAATTTAACTGTTTTGTAAGTAATATTTTTGTGCTTTTGAAGTGGTATTGTATCTCCTTACAAACCAAATGAAGCCCTTAAATGGACAAAAGCCAGCCTCAACACGTGTAGGGTAAGAAATGTATGATTTCTGTCCACCACAACAGCCTCTACCAATGCTCCTATAACAAAATACAAGTTAACAGGAGAAAAGTAGAACAGACCTTATTTAATCAAAATTTAGCATGGCCCAGGAGCCTTAGGAAGACCCAAAGATCCGTGGGGAAACTGACCTTTTTAATGCTTAGGTTCAGTGAAAACCAGATGGCAGTATAGAAATGTGATTGGATGAAAGGGTGTGACCTACTAGTAAGAGACTCAGAGAGGAAACCCAGACAGGCCTGTCCAGATTCTTCTTTGCTTCTGTGTATGGCATTCCTTCCTCTCAGGTGTGGGGCAGTACCCTTCCTGGAATGAGGATCTTATGACCTTCCAACAGACAAGGCAGGTCAGAGAATGTCCTTAAGGCCAGCTCCTACACAGAAAGGTGGCAGAAGACCAGAGTAGTATTTCTAGGTTTTATGGCTGAATTTGGGGAGACGGACTCTAAATTCTATGGCCCACCTTGGAGAAAAAAAGGGAGCAACAGAAGGGCAGAAGAATGGCAGTAAGATCTTGCTTCCGAGATCCTTCTAACGTCCTTCAGTTCAAGTACACAGCACACCAAAGTGCCATACTTTGGGGTATCATTTTTCTGAGCCCCAACACATGCATTGTGATTATGGCAAGCATTTACCATGGAATTCACATTTGTTGAAACTGAAGGACTCCAAGTTCAAATCAAGGGTAACCACAGATTTAACCATACATGAAGCATCACAATGCCACTGTATTATCTGAAACCCCTGAGGATGTCTTTATGAACACAAGGATAAAGCTTTTTTTAATATTTTTTAGTTGTTGATGTACCTTTATTTTTTATTTATTCATATGTGGTGCTAAGGATAGAACTCAGTGTCTCATGCATGCTAGGAAAGTGCTCTGCCACTGAGCCACAACCCCAGGCTCAGGATAAAGCTTTGAATATTGCTGAGTATAATTTCTTCTTCCTCCTCCTGCCTATTTTAAGTTCACATGACCTTTCCTTCCTGTGAAAGTAAAGGACAGGGGGACTTCCTTCAATATAAATATCCAACTTCCAGGCTGGGGGTGTAACTCAGTGGTAGGGCATTTGCCTAGCATGCATGAGGCCCTGGGTTTGGTACCCAGTGGTGCACATATATACATACACAAAAATAAAATCCAATTCCTTCATTCACAGTTTACTTTGCCTAAATATTTTTCAAACTCTTGGTTGCAACTCATGAGTAGGTAATGAAATCAGTATAGCTCAATCAATTTAGAATGTCCTGATCAGCATTTATAAATAAAATAGAATTTAATAGATTATATCATAATACAATGCAGATAATGTAGCATGAAATGAGACTTAGGTTATGGGTGTGTGCACATATTTTATGTCCCAATATAAAATGCATTTTTACTAGGAGTAAACATATTTCACTAGGGGTTACCATGGGGAAACTCTTAAAACCATCATCCTAGAGGACCCTGTATATAAGCTATACCATAGCTACCACTAGTGTAACAATGTGTTTTATCCAATTATACACCCTTCCATCCATATGTTCAAAGTCACTGAAATTTTTGAATTCTTCCACTGAGTTAATCTTCAAATTCAGGATGCTTCATATCCAACTATGCAAGACATTCATACTAATTACCCAAAAGGAAACCAATGAGCAGCTAAAGAACACAGAACAAATAGATATCTGAAATGCTAAGAACATCTTTTCTGTTCTGTATGCATTTTTTTTTTTTTAGTGAAACTTCTGTATGAAGAAATAATCTGTGGGTTTCTTCTTGGCAAGTGTTTGTGCTTTTTTGGTCCAGGATCATTAGGAGACTGTGGTAATGGTTTGGAATACCAGGAGGAGTTAAATATTTATAGATGAGACAAGGTCAAATTTAAGACATGTCACACAGTGTTTAAAGAATTGAAACCCCTTAAAGATTTCCCATGAGTAGTCCTTTATGCTAGCTGGTAACACATGAGATCCGTGCAAAATGAATTGTCAGGAGGCTAGGGGTGTGGCTCAGTGGTAAAGAGTGTGCTTAGCATGAACAATACCCTGGCTTCCATCCTCAGCACCAAAAAAGACGGAAGGAAGGAAGGAAGGAAGGAAGGAAGGAAGGAAGGAAGGAAGGAAGGAAGGAAGGAAGGAAGGAAGGAGAAACTGTCAAGAGTTACAGTCTTATTCATCATTCAGCATGCCAAACTTGAGACTCTTCTGATATCATCTAACTTAGATCACTTTCCCTTACTTACTCAGCTCCACCCTAAATCCCATCAACTTTCAAATGAGCAAGCCTACTTAGAGTATTATGTTAGACACACTTTTCAGATTATACTTCTAATTAAAAATTACAAGTATAGGGCTGGGGTTGTAGCTCAGTGGAAGAGTGCTCGCCTTGCATGTGGAAGGCACTGGGTTCCATCTTTAGCTCCACATTAAAAAAATAAATAAAAGGTATTGTGTCCATCTACAAGTAAGAAAAATTTTTTATTTTTAAAAAAAAATTAGAAGTATATTTTATTATCCTTATTAAAAGATTTGGATCTACATACGGTGGGGTCGGGCTCCAAATTCCTCAATAGGACACCCATAGCACAAAAGTTAATAACTAGAATCAACAAATGGGACTTACTCAAACTAAAAAGGTTTTTTCTCAGCAAAAGAAACAATAAGAGAGGTAAATAGGAAGCCTACATCCTGGGAACAAATCTTTACTCCTCACACTTCAGATAGAGCCCTAATATCCAGAGTATACAAAGAACTCAAAAAATTAGACAATAAGAGAACAAACAACCCAATCAACAAATGGGCCAAGGACCTGAACAGACACTTCTCAGAGGAGGACATAAAATCAATCAACAAGTACATGAAAAAATGCTCACCATCTCTAGCAGTCAGAGAAATGCAAATCAAAACCACCCTAAGATACCATCTCACTCCAGTTAGATTGGCAGCCATTATGAAGTCAAACAACAACAAGTGCTGGCGAGGATGTGGGGAAAAGGGTACACTTGTACATTGCTGGTGGGACTGCAAATTGGTGCAGCCAATTTGGAAAGCAGTATGGAGATTTCTTGGAAAGCTGGGAATGGAGCCACCATTTGACCCAGCTATTCCCCTTCTCGGTCTATTCCCTAAAAACCTAAATAGAGCATGCTACAGGGACACTGCTACATCGATGTTCATAGCAGCACAATTCACAATAGCAAGACTGTGGAACCAACCTAGATGCCCTTCAATAGACGAATGGATAAAAAAAAAAATGTGGCATTTATACACAATGGAGTATTACTCTGCATTAAAAAATGACAAAATCATAGAATTTGCAGGGAAATGGATGGCATTAGAGCAGATTATGCTAAGTGAAGCTAGCCAATCCCTAAAAAACAAATGCCAAATGTCTTCTTTGATATAAGGAGAGTAACTAAGAACAGAGTAGGGACGAAGAGCAGGAGAAGAAGATTAACATTAAACAGGGATGAGAGGTGGGAGGGAAAGGGAGAGAGAAGGGAAATTGCATGGAAATGGAAGGAGACCCTCAGGGTTATACAAAATTACATACAAGAGGAAGTGAGGGGAAAGGGAAAAATAATACAGGGGGGAGAAATGAATGACAGTAGAGGGGGTAGAGAGAGAAGAGGGGAGGGGAGGGGAGGGGGGATAGTAGAGGATACGAAAGGCAGCAGAACACAACAGACACTAGTATGGCAATATGTAAATCAATGGATGTGTAACTGATGTGATTCTGCAATCTGTATATGGGGTAAAAATGGGAGTTCATAACCCACTTGAATCAAAGTGTGAAATATGATATATCAAGAAATTTGTAATGTTTTGAACAACCAACAATAAAAAATTTAAAATAAAATAAAATAAAAATAAAAGATTTGGGATGGTAGGCTTGGGAATGTAGCCCAGTGGTAGAGCACATGCCCAACATGCAACAGGCCCTCTGTTCAGTCCCCAGCACAGAAAGGACGAATGAAAAGAGAAGTAGGGAGAGATGGAGGGATAATTTGGGAACTTTGATATCAAAATTGAATTAGATAGTTAATCATACTACTTCAAAATCTCTCGATGTGAAACATGCACTGTATATTCATTACCTTTATTTTTGCATACTGATAATGTCTTTAGTAATTTAAGCAATAAGTACCTCAGGATGTAAAAATGTATTTTTCTTTTTTTATTTCAGGGTAATGAGGAAAAACAAAATTAATCACTTAAGTGAAAATAGTTTTGCACATCTCCAGAAACTAGATGAATTGTAAGTTTGACTAAAAGAATTGTTAAGAATTTTTTACCATTATTTTATTTCATATTTGTTATATGTACCCTGGGTCACAAAGGAATTCAGATGGCTTGCAAAAATAAACATGAGATAAATATTTGAGAAAAGTGGGATAAAGGAAACACAGCTATAGAGAAAGTATAAGGCCAGGGAAAAATGAATAAATAAATATATTCTATACCACTGTGTTCCAATGTTTCAAAGGGGACACAATTTTGTATTTAAGTTTCCTAGAGGGTTAGTATTCAGGGATCATAAGATTGAAAGACACCAGCTGGGCATGGTGGTACATACCTGTTATTATTGTGGCTAGGAAGCTGAGAGAGGAGAATCACAAATTTGAGGCCAGCCTCAGCAACTCAGTGATGCCCTAAGCAACTTAAGCGAGACCTTCAAAAAAAGGGGGCTGGGAAGTGACTCAGTGGTAAAGCACCCCTTGGTTCAATCTCCAGTACAAAAAAAAAAAAAAAAAGATTAAAAGTCCTCAATTTGCTGATTCTGAAACTAAAGGATAACCTTGGATTCATAAGGAAACTAGATACTGCCAGGAATAACATCCCTATCTATAATAACAGAAGAAAGAGATAATTTTAAAAGTATTTTTATAATGTTTGTGCTCGAATACCAATAACTAAAGGTGAAGCAAAGCCTTATTGGCCCAACCACAGAGTAGTTGGTTGTCAAGATAAAATAGATATGGAACAATGAATGAAGTGCACACCCTTTAAAAAAATGTTTAATTTTTTAATATCAATTTTCTGGAGGAAAAAAATCCAAATTTTGGACAAATCTATATGTTTTGACAATTATCTGGGCAGAATACTGGTTTATTAAAGTTTTTCCATGAAACAAAGAACATAACTAGAATGTTATGAAATGACACCCGAATACCTTAGCTAAGCACTGAAACAGGTAGAGAGAATTCCTGTTCCTGAGCAGGAGCATTCGTTAGAAAACAATCTTGCATTCTGCTTCAAAACACTTTCAAACAAGCCATTGAAAACCGAACATTTTTAGTAGGGACATGATGGTGCATACTGTCGACCCAGTGACTCTGGAGGCAGGAAGATCACAAGTTCGAAGCCAGCCTCAGCAACTTAGCAAGACACTGTCTCAAAATAAAAACATAAAAAGAAATGGGAATATGGCTCAGTAGTAAAGCACTCCTGGGTTTAACACCCAGTATGAATGAAAGAAAGGAAGGAAGGAGGGGGAAGGAGGAAAGAAAAAATCCAACATTTTTCTGTAATTATTAGCTTGAAAGATTTTTTAGTAGGCAATACCCAATCATTCACAAACATGCAAGAAAATCTCAATAGATAATTAGAACCAAGGCCTGTTGTGAGGACTTCTGGCATATGGCAACTGAACCTTATCATCAGCACACAGGAAATTATTTTCGGTAACAGGGAAAAATCCATCTAGATGATCCAAAGATATTATTTAACTGTTAAAATACAAGCTAGTCAAGGGATCCATATTTCTCCTGTTTTATCCAACTTGAAAGCGCTAGAGGACAATTACTACACAACCTAGTCTTCATGGTGGCAACCAGGTGCAGATTTTATATATCCCTAAAGACCAAGAATATGGAACACAAATAGCTTAGTCCATAACCAGTGCTAATCTAGGTTCAGAGGTAAAAGAAAGAATAACAAAAGCTGCAAAGAGGGTAACAGGCCAATGATTAGTCCTACCTATGGCCTGCCCGATCCCATAGTAGACACTTGCTTGAAAATTCAGATTTATAAGGAGAAAAATGGCAAGGTTTCTAAGAAGTGATAGCTTTCAATGGATCAGTCTAGATCTCAACTTCCCCTTCATAGGAGGGTTGGGCTCTACTGTGTGCTCCTCCAGGCTCTTGTCACATCAATAGTTAGAAGGTAAATATATTGACAACACAGGATTCACTTGTCACAGAGGACTTTAACTTATTCCTGTGACAGAAAATCTTTGCCATGTGCTTACTTTTATTTATGGTTTACAGTTAACTGCTAATGGGCTGGGAGCATAGCTCAGTAGTAGAGCACTAGCCTTGCATGGGTGAGACCTGAGTTCAATCTCCAGCACCCAAAAAAAATAATAATAAATAAATAAAGTCAACAACTACAGTAGATGTTTCCCGAACCCATTCAGAAATAAACCTTGAGTCCAATTAAGTTTATCCCAGCTGTCCTAATCTAAAGCTAAGAAAATTAAGTTTTTACATGTCACTTAGGATTGAGGCCAATACTATCTCATTACATAATTCCCGCTATAAAAACTATATATTAGAATTTGCTCTGATAGCCAAAACCCACACTTCCACCAGAAATTGTTAAACATATTTTTTGAGTTTTAATACCCTAGAGGACTACTTTAAATTTGGCACGTCGCCTTTCTAAGATGATCAATATTTTACTTGGCTTCCTGTTCAAGGAACTTAATCATATCAACTCTTACCTAAATATGAAGCAGACTCAGCCTATTAAGAGTCTTCTCACCAGGATGGAAAACAGCTAGTCCAAAACTGAGTGAGGCACAGAATAGCCCACACTGAATGGGTATAGTTCGTATCCTCAAGGGGCTCACATCTTTCAGAAGGGAAGCAGACGTGTATACGGAAGCAATGTTCACCTGATGTTCCATGTACCATATGTGTCATGTGTGCTGGGATAGAATATGTAGGAGAATGCATAGGGACAGAAGACCTAACCTCCTGGGCACTGGAAGTTAAAAGGGAATGTCATTTGAATGGAATCTTGAAGGATGATTTGGGATCACCAAAAAGGCAAGGAGGAGAGGCCAGGATAGGCAAAAGACAAGCCACCCAGGCCAAAGTGCAGAGGTCAGAACACTGAAGTGCCTTCAGACCATGGTGTAAGTTACAGTGAATAGCAAGTGATAGGAAAGGAGATTGGAAAGACTGACGTCAGAATGACAGATACTGATATACATCTCATGTCACACCAAGCAGTTTTGAATTTATCATCTAGGCAACAAGATTTTATGAAAGGAAAGAAATTTTACAAAGATTCATTTGATCGTCAAAGCAGAACAACTCATCTGCATAGACAATTTGCCCATAAATATGTAAACGACAAAAATAGTCTCCAGGTTTAGTTTGCAGTATGAAAATAGGCATTCACGGCAAAGGCATTGATAGCATTTGTCAGATTATATTATCCACTCACTTTTAGTGTTTAGAACTCTACCTAAAATCATCCTGTCCCCCAAAGTTGAGTAACCTCAATTTTGATTTATAAATCAACCAGGATACGTAACAAGTAAATCTGTTCTCCTGTCGATCACCATGGTAACTAATTTGGAGGCAGAGAGGGGAAATGGCTAGGCTTCCTTTTCCGTCTCCCCATCACCTTAGAGAGCTCAAGCTTGCTGAAACTGTCTCTTGTTTCCAAGAATCTGAGTCCTTTATCATGGAATCTGCCCCTGTCAAAGCTTCCGTGAAAGGTTCTGCAGTTAAAACCTTACAACTAAGCTTCAGGGTCATACCCTATTAGGGAGACCTCCTAGACATACATGAGATCACAAAGAATCCTACCCAGGAGAATGTGAGATCCCATGCATTTCACCTGGGAAAGAAACTTGCTTTTGAAATAATAGACTTCCATATGATAATCACAATAAACTCAAGCAGAAGAAAAAAAAAATAAGACTCCAAACCATATTCTTACTCTAACACAAAAAGAAGGGAAGGGGAGGAATAAAGATTGTGATACATACATACCCTTGTGACTGCATGGCCGACTGGGTGCTGCAGCCCACTGCTGTACCATACCACATATTGCTGACCCAGGAAGAGACCAAACCCAAAACTCAAAGGTAAATTGCTTTTACACTATTGTGCAGTGAAAAATCAGAACATTGAAACTATTAAAACCAGATTAAATAATCGTAAGTATTTGTTTCTGATGAAGTGCTGAAATGGGATAAAATATTTGTTAAATATTTTCACATTTTATCCATTTTTTAAAATCACTTTGGCTTCACAGGGTTGGGGGTTGAGCTCAGTGATAAGTCATAGGCTCAGCATGTAAAAGGCCCTAGGCTCAATCCCCAGCACCAAAAATACACTCTTAAACTTTTGTTAATTAACACAACTCACCAACAACATTGTTGAGAAGTTATATGTTGGTTTCATAGCAGACATCAGAACAACAAATAAAGTCTTCAGAAAATAACGTTTGCAATTGTTTCCCTAGGGATTTAGGTTGTAATAAGATTGAAAATCTTCCACCACGCATATTTAAGGATCTGAAGGAGCTGTCACAATTGTAAGACTTCTATTAATTTCCCCACCTCATTGCTTTATTTTATTAATGTTTTTAATTGTAATAAAATAAGCATAAGGTAAAATTAGCCATTGGTAGGTGTACAGTTGAATGGCATCAACTACATTCACATTGGTCTGCAATCATCACCACCAACCTCCTCCAGAATTTTTTTTTTCATCTTGCAAAACTGAAACTCTGTAACCATGAAATACTAAATCCCCATTCACCCTTCCCGGACAGCCCTGGGAAACTACCATTCTACTTTCCATCTCCATGCATTTGACTAGCCTAAGTACCTCATCCAGTTGAAATCACTCAGTAATTGTCATTTTGTAGCTGGCTTGTTTCAATTATCATGATGTCTCCAAATTTCATTCATCTTGTAGCATGTGTCAGAATCTCCTTCCTTTTTAAGGCTGAATAATATTCCATTGTACCTATATACCACACATTGTGTTTATTCATTCATCAATTAATGGAAAAGGATTGCATCTACCTTTTTGCTATGTGCATAATAATGTTATGAACATGGGTGTACAAATACCTGTTTTGAGTTTCTACTTTTAATTCTTTGATCTTCAGTTATAATAAGATTATATCCCATCCCAATAAACCCATCATAAATTGAAAATACCATAAGTAAAAAAATGCACTTAATACACATAAACTACTACACATCATCATTTACCAACATTATACACTGTAGACTATCCTTTTTTTACCCTGTGAATGCATGGGTGCTGCAGCTCACTACAATTATCATACCACATACTGCTGACCCAAGAAGAGACCAAAATCAAAATTTAAAGGTGAATTGCTTTTATACTATATACAGTGAAAAATCACAAGTCAAACCATGTTAAGTCAGAGACCACCTGTATACCCCCAGAAGTAGAATTGCTAGATCATATGGCAATTCCATTTTTATTCTACCTTTGATTCTGTTTTCCATAGGATTTGAGCCATTTGACATTTCAGTAATCAGTGCACAAGGGTTCCAATTTCTCTATGTCCTCCAAACACTTAATAATTTTGGTTTTTTGATAATAGACATCCTAATGGATGTGAAATTGAACCTCCTTGTGGTTTTCATCTGCATTTCTCTAATGATTAGTGATGCTGAGTTTCTTTTCATGTGTTTATTGATCACTTGTATGGTTTTTTGGAGAAAGATGTACTCAAGTCCTTTGCCCATCTTTTAATTGAATTATTTTGTTGTTATTGATTTTTGGAGCTCTTTGCATACATTTTGGATATTAACCCCATTTCAGATATAAAATTTGCAAGCCCTTTGTATTTTAATTCTGTTATATTGTCCTTTGATGCATAAGATTTTCATTTTGATATAATCCAGTTCTTACAATTTTTTTTGTTCCTATGCTTTTGCTGCCATATTAAAGAAATTATTGCCAAATCCAAAATCATGAAACTTTTCCCCCTATTTCCTTCTAGGAGATTTATGGTTTGATGTTGAGGCCTTTGACCAATCTTGAGTTAATTATGTATATGGTATAAGATGAACGTCTAACTGCTTTCTTTTGGTTGTGAATATTCAGTTTTCCCAACACACTTTGTTGAAAAGACTCTCCTTTCCCTATTGAATAGCCCAGGGCACTCTTGTCAAAAATCATTTGACTATTTATGTGTGGGTTTATTCGTGGGCTCTGCATCCTATTCCATTGCTCTGCATGTCTGTCTTTATGCCAGTACCATAGTGTTTGATTACTATCACTTTGTACTGTTTTGATATCAGTTAGTGTGAGATATCTAGCTTTATTATTCTTTTTTTTTTTTCAAGATTTTTGGTCATTTGGGCTCCCTTGAATTTCCATATGAACATGGGATGTTTTTCCTTTCATTGGTGTTGACTTAATCCATTTTTTGCTGCTTATAACAAAACACCACAGACTGGGCGATTTATAAACCATAGAAGTTTCTTTGGCTCACAGTTCTGGAAACTGGGAAATACAAAACTGAAGGGCCACATCTAGTGAAGGCCTTCTTGCAGCAACATAACATAGCAGAATGTACCACATGGGAAAAGAGTGGATGGGGGAGTAGCTGAAGATAAATTTATCCTGCAATCAGAAGCCTGCTTCTGCAATAACGGAATGAATCCATGCTTGAGGCAGAGCCCTGGTGACCTTATCACCTCTTAAAGGCCCCATCTCTCAACACTGTTGCAAAGGCAATTAAACTTCAACCTAAGTTTTGGAGGGAACAGTCATAAAAAATGTCATTAATTTCTTTCAGCAATGTTTTGTGGTTTTCAGTATACAACATATCTTTCACCTTCTTAAGTTTCTTTAAGTACTTTACTCATTTGATATTAATGTAAATGAGGTTATTTTCCTAATTTCCTTTTGGGGATTGTTTGCTGGGTAGAGAAACACAACTGATTCTTATGTGTTAATTTTGTGTCCTACAACTTTGCTGGATTTAGTAGTATTAACATTTTTGTTGTTTTTGTTAAGTATTTAGAGTTTTCTACATTCAAGATCACATCATCTGGGCTGGGGTTGTGGCTCAGCGGTAGAGCGCTCACTAGTACCAATGAGGCCCTGGGTTCTATCATCAGCACCACATAAAAATAAATAAATAAATAAATAAATAAAAGATCACATCATCTGTGAACAGAAATAATCCATCTTCTTTTCTAATTTGGATCCTTTTTTTTTTTTTCTTTTTTCTGCCTAATTGCTCTGGCTAAGACTTTGAATACGATGTGAGTTAGAAGTAATGAAAAGAAATAAGCTGTTCTTAAAGGAAAAACTTCTGGTATTTTCCCAACAAAATAAAGATATTGCATCCATCTATAACTTAGAAAAAATAAAATATATATAATATATAAATATTATTTATTAAAATTTTTTTTATTTATATATGACAATGGAATGCATTACAATTCTTATTACACATATAGAACACAATCTTTCATATCTCTGGTTGTATACCCAGTATATTCACACTAATTTGTGTCTTCATACCTGTACTTCGGATAATAATGTCCATCACATTCCACCATCATTAATAACCCCATGCCCCCTCCCTTACCCTCCAACCCCTCTGCCCTATCTAGAGTTCATCTATTTCTCCCATGCTTCCCTGCCTATCTCACTATGAATCAGACTCCTTATATCAAAGAAAATATTCGGCATTTGTTTTTTGGGGGATTGGTTAACTTCATTTAGCATTATCTTCTCTAACTCCATCCATTTACCTGAAAATGCCACGATTTTATTCTCTTTTATTGCTGGGTAATATTTCATTATGTATATATGCCACATTTTTTTATCCATTCATCTACTGAAGGGCATCTAGGTTGGTTCCACAGTTAAGCTATTGTGAATTGTGCTGCTATAAAAATTGATGTGGCTCTGTCCCTGTAGTATGCTGTTTTTAAGTCCTTTGGGTATAAATATAAAATATTTTTTAGTTATAGATGTATGCAATATCTTTATTTTGTTTATTTTTATGTGGTGCTGAGGATCAACCTAGTGTCTCACATGTGCAAGCAAGCACTCTGCCACTAAGGCACAACCCCAGCCCATATTTTTTTTAAATATTTATTTTTTAGTTGTAGTCGGGCACGATACCTTCATTTTTATTTATTTATTTTCATGTGGTCGAACCCAGGGCCTCACACATACTAGGCAAGCGCTCTACTGCTGAGCCACAACCCCAGCCCACTATCAAGTATATTATTTATGGAGTGTACCTATGGCCTTTATTATGTAAGGTAGTTTCTGTTTATTCCCAGTTTGCTGAGTCCACTTCCTTTTGTTATACATGACATTTGAGTAAATTTCTTAAAATTAGAACTTCTCTGAGAAACTCCCTTAATCAATGCTTTTTGTTTCAAAGTATTTTACAAAGAATCTTGATGGTGAGTGGGAGTGCAGCAGGAGGGGAAAACAGATTCTGATATGTCCTCCCTATGGACTCAGCTGTTCTTTCACTCTTATCTCTCTTTGTCCCTAGATATAGCCTAGTAGTAGCTACATGAAATGAAAAGCCTAGTTTTCATTTTATGCTTCACAAAGTGCAAATACAGTATGTCACTCTTTGACATAAAATTTATTGTAAAAGATACACAATGTGATTCTTTTAATTCAAATTTTGATTAAATGAAATTCTTTTTGTTTTATGTAAACCACATCAAATCCTAGGCAAAATATGAAGTAGGTGTGGCTCTCTCTGGGTGGCCCATCACTTCCCTGGCCAGGCCCTCTTGACAGCTCCACCTCTTCCCAAGTTGTATTAGCTCTTGCCATGGAGTACTTATTATCAGCCAGGCATTGTTCTAAGTGTTTATCTCCATCAATTCACTTAAATGTACAATCAACTATATGAGGCAAGTGTACTTCCTACACATTTTTAACTGATATATAAAAATTGTGCATATTTATCATGTACTACATGATGTTTTGAAATATGTGTACATTGTGGAACAGCTAAATTGAGTTCATTAACATATGTATTACCTTGTGTACTTATCACTTTGTGAGTATGTGTGGTGATAACATTCAAAATCTTTAGCATTTTTAATGATAACATTCAAAAACATTCAGCAATTTTTAGAACACAATACATCATTACTATCATCACCATGTTGTGCAACAGATCTTTTGCACTTGTTCTTTCTGTCTAACTGAAACTCTGTACCCTTTGGCAAATGCCTTCCCAATCCCTCCCTCCCCCTGCCTGCTCCTGCTTTCAGCCCCTGGGAAAACCAGTATTCTACTTTCTACTTCTGTGAGTTCAACTTTTTTGGATAAGTGAGATCATGTACCTGACTTTTTTCACTCAGAGTCATGTTCTCCAGGTTCATCCACATTGTTCCAAATGCTAGGATTTCCTTCTTTCTCAAGGAATTTAATTGCATATGTACACCATACTATTTTCTTTTTTAAAAAATTTATTCTAATTAGGTATATATGACAGCAGAATGCATTTCAATTCATTGTACACAAATGGAGCACAACTTTTCATTTCTCTGGTTGTACACGATGTAGAGTCCCACCATATGTGCAGTCATACATTACCTAGAGTAATGGTGTTCATCTCATTTTCACCATCTTTCCTGTCCCCATGCCCTGTCCCTCCCCTTTGCCCAATCAAATTTCCTCCATTCTTTCCATACCCCCACCATTATGAATCAGCATCCACTTATGCGAGAGAACATTCAGCCTTTGGTTTATGGAATTGGCTAGAGCATACCAAACATCCATCATCTGTTGATGGACATGTAGGTTGATTCTGTATCTTGGCTATTGTCAATAATGCTGTAATGAACGTGGGAGTGCAGTGTCTCTTCAACATACGTATTTCATTTCCTTAGGATATATAGCTAGGATCATATGACAGTTCTATTTTTAATTTTTTGAGGCATCTCCATACTAATTACCATATGATCATACTAATTTACATTCCCACCAACAGTGTAAAAAGATTCCCTTTTCTCCACATCCTCATCAGCCCTAATTTTACCATTTTTTTAAAGACACAATGAGCTATAATGTGAGGTTATAGATCTCATTGTGGTTTTAATTTGCATTTCTCGGATGATTAGTGATGTTAAGTATTTTTATGTATCTGTTGGCCGATTGTGTGTCTGTTCAGGCCCTTTGTCTGTTTTTAATTCAATTATTTGTTTTCTTGCTGTTGAGTTGTTTGAGTACCTTATACATTTTGAATATTAAACTCTCCCCATATTTGCAAATACCTTCTCCTGTTCTAGTGATTGTCTCTTCACTCTGTTGAATTTTACTTTGATTGTACAGAAGCTTTTTGGTTTAAATTGGTCTCATTTGTCTATGTTTGTTTTTATTGCCTATGTTTTGGGGATCATATCCAAAAAGACATTGCCCAGACCAATGGAGCTTCTCACTATGTTTTCTTCTAGTAGTTTTACAGTTTCAGGTGTTACATTTAAGCCTTTTATTCATTTTGAGTGGTGCTATACTTTTTATTTTCTTGGTGAATATTTAGTAATTTGAGGTCAATAGATATACATTCTTTACTCAGCCATTTTTAGAATGTTGCCTTTTTTTTAATTTTTATTGTTGGTTGTTCAAAACATTACATAGTTCTTGATATATCATATTTCACACTTTGATTCAAGTGGGTTATGAACTCCCATTTTTACCCCGTATACAGATTGCAGAATCACATCAGTTACACATCCATTGATTTACATATTGCCATACTAGTGTCTGTTGTGTTCTGCTGCCTTTCCTATCCTCTACTATTCCCCTCCCCTCCCCTCTTCTCTCTCTACCCCCTCTACTGTCATTCATTTCTCCCCCTTGTATTATTTTTCCCTTTCCCCTCACTTCCTCTTGTATGTAATTTTGTATAACCCTGAGGGTCTCCTTCCATTTCCATGAATGTTGCCTTTTTTAAAAAACAGGAATATTTCCTACAACCCGATCCAGGAAATTCAAGCAGATCAATTTGATTATCTAGTCAAACTCAAGTCTCTGTAAGTACACACATTGGGGATAGTTTTATGATAAAATCATTATTTCAGTACTGACAACGTATATGTTTTAGAAACTTTCTTATGAGCTTTATTTCGGGGATTTTAGTAAATCTCTATAAAAATATAAAGATGAGTGTTTGATGGGAACAAGCAGACAGGTATTACTTTTGTATTACATGTTAATTAAAGTAAAAACTAAATAATAAGGGGCTGGGGATGTAGCTCAATGGTATAGCACTTGCCTAGTACATGCTAGTCCCTGGGTTCAATCCCTAGTACTGAAAAAAAATAAGTAATGATAACTCATTTTATATTTTTCTGTAAGTCACTAAGAACTTAAATTGTTTGCTTTGACTTTATGAAGGTATCTGTGCATATTGCTCTTTTAGTTCTGGGTGTTTGAGAATTTATTAAAGGCATCCTTACTCTAGGAGGGAATATTGTATATCATGTAAATCATAACTTGCACCAAACACACACACAAAAAGACAAAATTCTGTTAACATCTAAAAATTGCCTTAAAAATATCAACTTTAGTTCATTTAATTTGTGTTTTCTCAGTGAAATATTTTTTTAGAAAAAAATTGTTACCAAAAATTATTAGAAAATTTTCAGATGCTAAACTCTATGGCAATGTTTTCCAGAAAGTAGTGCTTGTTCACTTATTCTACAAGTATTTATTGAGTATTTAGAATGCAAAAAGCATTGTGCCATGACTTGTGAGGATCCAAAACACTCAAATAGGGGAAATATATGTTTTTGCATAACACAATCAAAAGGAGGAGCTGGGGAGGTGACTAGGGTAAGCTGATTATGAATATTTCATTTATATTGTGTTTACTAAAACATTTTATTAAGTTGTCCTTCAAAAAAAATTATTTTATTATATCATGTTTAACATATGGTTTTTGATTACTATTAATTTGGTATTTTTAGCAGCCTAGAAGGAATTGAAATTTCAAATATCCAACAAAGGATGTTTAGACCTCTTAATCTTTCTCACATGTAAGTTGATATTCTTGCTCTTCAACTTTATTTAACTCTTTAAGTTCGCACATGTATTGTGATAATATATCTGTACCCAATGCATTAAAATCTATTAATATGTTAGTTAATTTGCCAGCTATATACTGAACATTTGCATCCCCTTCACTCCAACAAAATTCATGTGTTGCTATCCTAACCCCAATGTGACAGTATTAAGAGGTAAGCCTTTGGGAGGTGATCAGGTTATTAAGGCAGGGGCTGGGGATATAGCTCAGTTGGTAGAGTGCTTGCCTTGCGTTCAATCCCCAGCACTGCCCCCCCCAAAAAAAAAAAAAAAAAAATATATATATATATATATATATATATATATATATCCCTAGGTTATTACAGCAAAGCCTTCATGAATAAGATTTGTGCTCCTAAAAAGGGCACTCCAGAGACCTCCCTTGCCCCTTCCATGATGTGAAACATAGCAAGAAGACAGCCATCTATGAACCAGGGAGCAGAACCTCACTAGACACAGAAACTGCTGGCACCTTGATCTTGAACTTCCCAGCCTCCAGAACTATGAGAAATTATTGTTTAAGCCACTCAATATATAGCATTTTTGTTACAGCAGCCTAAACAAACTCACATATATATAAACAATAATTAACTCTAAAAACTTTGACATTGGGTGGATGATTTTTAGTTTTCCACAGTCAAAAAGAATTTCATAGAAGACTTTGTAAGCATCAGCGAACATGAGTATAGGAGGAACCTACTCTTTCTTGTAAGAAGCTCTCAGCTCTGATAATATAGTCACAGATATTGACATTTGCCTAATGAGCTAAGAATTTGTACACATGGTATCAGAAGAAGTAGAAACATATATGTGTTTGTATATATACATATATAACAATATAAAATAATCATAAATAAATAATTACTGTAAAAGAAAGAAGGAAGGGAGGACTTCTCATTGAAAAGGGTCCCCAATGTCCAAGCATGATCAGAGCAAGCATACATGAAATGGAAACTTTGAAAATTTTTATTCAAATGGTGTGTTTGGTTGTGCCTTTGATTATATGCTTTAAAAGTATTTTTAATTGATTTCCATCTTATCGAAAGCATTAAAAAAATCTCCATAACATGGTAATTAATTTTCTGTAAGAAGTGTCTTATCAGTCACCACCAACTCTGTAATCTTGCTTATACTTTAAGTCTACACAGGGTACTGTTTTTGTTTTCCATGATTCTTCAGAGAGTGCTCTGTATTGATTGCACACAAAACAGTCTGCTAAATTAACCAAAACAGTTTATTAGGGAAAAAATAGTATAGCTCATGAAAGCTAAGAAGTAACTAAAAAAGCAAGCTTGAATTGGTTAGGAACCAAAGCCAAAAGAGTTAAACAGCAGTCTCCTCCAGGCACTGCTGATCTGTCTAAATATTGTCAGTATGACTCAAGTTCCAGGAAAAAGAGTCTAATTGATCTTGCTTGGGGATAAAGGAATGCCTCATTGAAGTTTCCATATGACTTCTCATAGGGAGAAGAAGTAATTCCCTCAAAGGAAATTAGTATACTATTACTAGATGGGTGACTTCAGGCTAAGCTCCCAAACTAGCAAACAAAGATCTACAATAACGTTATTGATTAAAAAAAAAAAAACCTAGGCCTAAAATACATAAAGCAAAGGAAAAGGGCAGTCAACACTCCTTCTTCCCTCACATTCTGCTCTCATCGCCATCAAAGTTCAAGAGAAAAGTTCACAGGATGGAACTATCAGCAATCAAACTTGAGTGAGATGGGATAAATCATAATCATCAAGTTTTTGTCTTTCATTACTATGGCTCTTGAAAGTGTATTTAGAATGCAAAAAGCATTGGGGTTAGGATAGCAACACATGAATTTTGTTGGAGTGAGGGGGATGCAAATGTTCAGTATATAGCTGGCAAATTAGTTGAACATATTAATAGATTTAAAGTGTAAAGATACTTTCTATGTTTTGCCAGCACACATGGCTTTAGAGCCAAATAGATCTAATTTGAATTCCAATTTCTACAATTACTAGAAAATTTCTTAGGAAATAATTTGCCTCTGTTGAAGATTCATCTCCTTTCATGGGAATACCGACACCTATATGTGGAGTTTGTTTGAGAATGCATTCCTGTTGCCTAAAAAATGCTCAATAAATGGTGTTGGGGTTGTTAGCAACACCGTAGTACTTATTAATTATCCAGGTGATGTCCTTTTTTTCAATTTCTTTTTTTAGTTGTCAGTGGACCTTTATTTTATTTATTTATATGTGGTGCTCAGGATTGAACCCAGTGCCTCACACATGCTAGGCAAGCTCTCTACCACTGAGCCACAACCCCAGCCCCAGGTGATGTCTTTATCAAGAAGCGAGTTCTCTACTGATGAAAGCATTTACTCAACAAATAGTCATTGAACCCTTAATTTTGTTCCAGTGTGAAAGATAAGCATGTCACCAGGTATTACAGATACCATAATAACTTCTACAACAGAAAAGTCTTGGAAGCCTGGAGCAAACCTGTGATCCAGTGACTTGGGAGGCTGAAGCAGGAGGATTCCAAGTTCGAGGCCAGCCTCAGCAACTTAGACCCTAAGCAACTTAGTGAGACCCTGTCTTGAAATAAAAATATAAATAGAGCTGGGGATATAGCTCAGTGGAGAAGTGCACCTGAGTTCAGTGCACAGTACAGAAAGAAGAAAGGAAGGAAGGACATAGATGCACAAAAGAGAAAGTGCTTAATTTTTTCGCCTGTGGGCTAAAAAGCAAGATCAATGCAATAGAGTAAGCAATGGAGCTGTCAAACAGTGCATTTATAGAATGAATGCTGATAGTTTCTTTGGCTAAATTAATTTGCTCACAAGCTAACACTTCATTTATATTCTAAGACATGTTTAACACTTGTATATTCATCATGTCTTTTTTGCTACTCTCACTCACATATTCTTTGACAGTGAAATCAAGTTAAAGAGTATTAAATTTAAAACTTCAGGATCTCTAGTGCTTTGCGTTCCTCTGAACCTCATATTAAGATATCTTCCATCAACTGAGAAAATGCTGAAAATAAATATTAGTGTATGGTGACACTGAATTAAATCTAAAATCTTATTTTGTCTTGCCTTTGTATACCAGATATTTTAAGAAATTCCAATATTGTGGATATGCACCCCATGTTCGCAGCTGTAAACCAAACACTGATGGAATCTCATCCCTTGAGAATCTTTTGGCAAGCATCATTCAGAGAGTGTTTGTCTGGGTTGTATCTGTGGTTACCTGCTTTGGAAATATTTTTGTCATTTGTATGCGACCTTATATCAGATCTGAGAACAAACTGCATGCCATATCAATCATTTCTCTGTGCTGTGAGTATATCCTGGTTAAAGAGAAACTATAGTTTTGAAATAAACAAAAGCATTTCTATTAGGAAAAAAGTTCTACTGGTGATATAATTGTGGAATTTTAAAATTTTTCTTCTTATTGTTTATGTGTCATTTTCACATTTTCTACAACAAAAATAGAATTACTTTAGTGATAAGAAAGTTTTAGGTTTTAAAGTAAAAATATTCAGTCACCTTACATAGATTAATGAAGCTTTCATTCACTAGTTTTCTCTCATATAGTGATTCTGAAGGGATATTTTGTTAAAGCATTTAAAATCTTCTACTACAAGTGAAATTGTAGCCTTCTATGGTCACATTTTTACACCCACAGTGATGCTTACATTTTTGTTTGCATGTCTAGTTCGTAGACAGTGACTTAGCAGCTAGTTATTTTTCTGGTCTCTGAGCTACTAGAAGCTTTTCCATTTATAACTTGAAATATGTAAATAAAAATGCTTTCAGATAAGTACTAACTTTTTAAATGTTTTTGAAATATGATTACAAGATATTTTGTTAATGAGGATTACAAAGAAAAACAAGCAAGAAACCTGTCCTCGGGATGTTTACAGTTTGGGTCACATAGTATAGAATCTATTTAGGATCCCTTAAGCAAGTAAAATGTCAAGATGTTCATTGTTTTATGTGTTCTGTCATATGAACTACCCCCAAGCTTATTCAAAGTCTAATGGCTAATTGCTTTTTTCCTTACAAACTATGTAAGAAGCAGAAGTCCAAATGTTTACCACTTTGTACTCTTTTACAAAAGTTTGAGTTAAGTTCAATTTTCCTAATGAAGGCTACAGTCTAACTTCAGTGTTAAAGAATTAGGGCGAGCCTTGTGATTTATATAATGATGTGATTTTAGGGACTTAGTGCAGAATGTTTGCACAGTCAAAATATTTCAAGCACTTTCTATTTGCTTAAAAAGCAAAAATGCCAAGTAGTATACACACTGAGAGCTGATTTAGGGAATGAGAGAACCTAAAAGTAGACAAAGAACGTTGTAAAATGGGAAGAGAGGACAGTTTTGCTTAGGACAGCTCTAGTAAGTAATTTAAGCCTCCTAAATTGGACCGACTGTGAAACCCTTTGTAATTATTTGTATCTTCTAAATTGATAGACTTCAAAATTCATAGTCATTACTCCATCACAGAAACTCCTGAATTACTTTCTTTGGGTTTTTGGATAATATCCTCAGCTTGTTGAGCAAGGAGAATTTCAATGGAAAATCTGAAACATTCAACAAAATTGGACTTTATTCATTTATTCTACACTTTCAGGTGATGGGTCTATAATGCAGAACAAAATAGACAAGTTCTTGCTGTTATTGATTTGTGTTTTAAAGGAAAATGGAGAAATGCTTTGATAATTAACAGTAGATGGTTCTAAGAGTGGTTACCAAAGACAGTTGATGAATCGGTCCTCATCAGTAAATGAATTTTGGTTTTGGTGGGGCTGGAAATGAACCCAGGGCCTCCCTCATGCTAAGCATGCACTCTGCCACTAAGCTACACCCCCATCTGGTGAAATATTAGGAGAGGAAAATTACCTCCCCCTAAAACAGAAAAAAATGGTTTATTTTTTCCAATATTAAAAATATTATTACTGGGATGGGTTTGTGACTCAGTGCTAGAGGGTGTGCCTAGCATGCCTGAGGCCCTGGGTTCCACTCCAACGTTACACACAAAAAATTCTTGCTTCTTGATGAATTCATTATGCCTATTATTTCTCTAAATTTATGAAACTTTCTGATCCCTCTAGGTGCTGACTGCCTAATGGGAATCTATTTATTTGTGATCGGAGCATTTGATCTCAAGTTTCGAGGAGAATACAATAAGCATGCTCAGCTGTGGAGAGAAAGTATTCACTGTCAGCTTACCGGATCTCTGGCCATTCTGTCCACAGAAGTATCCGTTTTACTCTTAACATTTCTGACATTGGAAAAGTACATCTGCATTGTGTATCCTTTTAGATGTTTAGGACCTCGAAAATGCAGAACAGTAACAGTTCTGATTCTCATTTGGATGATTGGGTTCATAGTGGCTCTCATTCCACTAAGCAATAAGGATTTTTTCAAAAACTACTATGGCACCAATGGAGTTTGTTTCCCTCTTCATTCAGAAGACACAGAAAATATTGGAGCCCAGATTTATTCAGTGACAATTTTTCTTGGTAAGAAACTTTATTTTATATGTCCCTTTATTAAATTTTGAGATAATTCACAATGAGAAATTCATTGTGCCTTCTAATGTTTCCAAATTTTTATTTCAAATCTTCTCATTCGTTTTTCTTAGTGAGAATTTAAATTCTATCAGAATCCCCAATAGGTATTCTTTTTTCCTCCAAATCGCTTTTTTATCATATAACTGTCAATCTGATGCACTCAGTAAAAGGAACTAAACACTAGAGTTTCATGTATTCACCCTAATATCACTAAGCAAAATATTTTAGCTCTTTGACACATATATTTACAATATGAACATAATGGTATTTATTATCTTTTCAAATTCAGGATTGTAGCCACACAATCTTGGCCTAAGATTATACATACAACTGTCCTAAACTAGCAATATAAAAATATTCTTGAGTGTAGCACAGTGTAATTGAATTATGAAAAAAATGACTAATACAGAAAGTTAAAAGCCCAGGCCCAAGATATTTATTAAATTACCAGAATTTTACCTTAATATGCCATTTTAAAAATTAAACATCTTATCATTCTTTATTATTTCAATAATACTTCAACTTAAAAAAAAATTCATGATGGGCTGGAGATGTAGCTCATCAACAAAGTGCTTGATCCTGGGTTTCATACCCAGAGCTGCAAGGAAACTCAAGATTTAGGGGCACCTTAGTAATTCTGTATGGAAAAAAAAAAAGCATAGCCTTTGAATCTTCAGTAATAACACCTAAGGTCATGTTTTATTTGCTTGTTTTGAAAAAATGTGCATATACATTATTACTATTCTTTGTTTTCTAAACAGGTATTAACTTGGTGGCATTTATAATTATAGTTTTTTCCTATGGAAGAATGTTTTATAGTGTTCATCAAAGCACTGTAACAGCAACTGAATTACGGAATCAAGTTAAAAAAGAGATGATTCTTGCCAAGCGTTTTTTCTTTATTGTATTTACTGATGCATTATGCTGGATACCCATTTTTATACTGAAATTTCTTTCACTTCTTCAGATAGAAATACCAGGTACAAAGTTTTTTTTTTTTCTTTCTGTAAAGAAATAATAAATCTGTGCAGTGTTCTTCTGAGAAAGGCAATTAAAATTCCTAACACTAACTAGTTTCAAGAATTACGAGTGAAGGTTTTATGTACTTACACTCCGCTCATCACTAAAATGTTTCCTGAGAGGAAGCTGTTCCATTCTTTCCATAAAAGTCTAATGATACAATTACTAGGGGGAAAAGCCTGAAACAGCAGCTCAGGAGGCTAAGGGAGTTGCATCACAAGTTTAAAGCCAGCCTCAGCAATTTAGCAAGGCCCTAAGCAATTTAGTAAGACTCTGTCTCAAAATAAAACATAAAAATGGGCTGGGGGTGTGGTCCAGTGGTTAAACACCTCTGAGTTCAATCCCCAGTTTCAATAAAATTACTGTGGGGGCAACAAAGGGACAATAACCAATATCCATGACATGCAGGTTTGAGATCAATCGCATGCCCAACAAGGAAAACAGAAATAGCAAAACAGTTATCAAATAATTACCTCATTTTTTTTCAGAATGTAAGAAATTTTTCATCCTGTAATATATGTAATTTAGAGAACATTACCCTAGAGTGTGAGGAATAATAGAAGAAAACACTGTTATCATTTTAAAACAATGTATATCACATCCATTAGGGTGGTTATTATTTTCAAACACACAGAAAATTACAAGTGTTAGCAAGGATGTGGAGAAAGTGGAACACTTGTGCATTGTTGACAGGAACTTATGGTGCGACAGAGATGGAAAACAGTATGTAGTGATTCTACCAAAAATTAAACATAGATATATCATATAGTCCAGAGATTCCACTTCTGGAAAAATACCCAAAATAATATAAAGCAGGGACCCAAATAGATATTTGTATGTCTACATTCATAGCAGCATTATTGACAAAAGTCAAAAAAAGAAGCAATACCAGTGTCCATACATAGATAAATGGATAAACAAGATGTAATATATATACACAACAGATTATTCTACAGCATTACAAAGGAAGGATATTCTGACGCAGGCTACAATATGGATGAACCTTGAAGACCTTATGGAAAATGAAATAAGCCAAACACAAAAGGACAAATACTTTATCATCCCTCTTACATGAATAAATGCATAGTACCTAGAATGGTTGTTGCCTGGGTTTGGGGATGTGGAATGGAAAGTCATTGCTGAACAGGGGAAGTTTCCACATGGGAAGTTGAAAAAGTTCTGGAAATGGATTGTGGTGATTATTGTACAACAACATGAACATCTTTCATGCTACTGAACTGTATATTTAAAAGGGTTTAAAGAGTAAATTTCATTATGCATATTTAACCATAATAAAAAAGCCTTGTTAATGGTAACATATGCCATATATATTCATGTTTTTTAAATGTATTTTATATACTAAATTATAAAATTGAAATTTTATATATATGCATAGAGATATGCACATAAAATTTTAATTTTGTTTATCTTATAATATTTATGAACCAAAAAAAAGACAACATCAATTAAATTATAATAAACATCTGAGGGCTAGGCATGTACGTCAGTGGCAGAGCACTTGCCTAGTATATGCAAGGCCCTAGGTTCAATCCCCAGTACCACAAAATAGTTTTAAGAAAATGAGTATTTGGTAGTTGCATTTATGCTAAGGTGATTTATTTTTTCTAGCACTAGGGATCAAACCCAGAGCCTATGCATGCTGTGCAAGCAGTCTACCTCTGAGCTACATCCCCAGCTGCTAAGATGACTTTTACAATGAATTTATCCAGAGATGTTTTTACTGGAATGAATATTTGGTCAAAAGCCTAAACATTCATATCTATTTTTTAAATCAAATAATCAAAAGAAATCTATTAAAGAGAAGTCTACATATTCTGAGGAATACTGTATGTGCCACCTAGTAATTAAAACATTTGAAAAGGTATAATTTAAATACTGAAGGCTGGTGCTTCCTAAAATGAAATCATACTACTATGTCATGACTTTGTGGCAAATTTTCCTACCTACTGGAGTACTTCTGTTGATCTACCTGGGAAAAGCTACTTAGCAAGTGAAACTGTTTCTTTGAGTCACCAGCACCCCCATCAAATATTGGTGTTCAAGAAATATACCTGAAAACAATATACACTTGATAATTAATTATGTGTCATCAAAGGAAAAAAATAAGACTCAAAAGGGGTTGAGGGTAGAAGATACTGGAAAGGGGGTTTCTACACCTTGTAAACATATATACACACTCAGTCTATTTAATTTCTCTCTTCCAGATACCATAAATTCTTGGGTTGTGATTTTTATTCTGCCTATCAACAGTGCTTTGAACCCAATTCTTTATACTCTGACCACAAGACCATTCAAAGAAATGATCCATCAGTTTTGGTATAACTACAGACAAAGAAGGTCTCTCAAGAGCAAAGGAAGTCAGAAAACATACACTTCCTCATTCTGGGTGGAAATGTGGCCACTGCGGGAGATACCACCTGAGTCAAAGAAGCCTGCTGCTTTCACAGACCCCTGTGAAATGTCACTAATTTCTCAATCAACTCGACTCAATTCCTTTTCATAACTAACCCTGAAACCCATTTCTTCACAGAGAATACTGTAGAATGCTTCAGGAGGCATTTCATAGTATTAAACAAATACCAAAAAATTAATAATTTATAATAATGTCTAAGACAAATCAGTATACAAGGACACAAGGAAAAATAAAGAAGTTAATGCTCATACAAAGGAAAGTAATTATATTGGTAATGCATATATATTAGATATACATTTTGCACAGAAAATTAAGAGATATATACTCAGAGAAATTAATTCTTCTAAAATTCATTTATTCAGTACCCACAGTGCACATTGCATTGCAGTTAATTGCCAGAAGTAGACAGTACAGAATCTCTTCAATCTGTAAATTGTGTTTAACTACAAAGGCCACACAAAGCCCGTCAGCCGTTCCTAGTTTAGAGCTTCATCTGTCATGCATAAGCAAACTTAAGAATCATAGACATTTTTAAGTAAAGATTTAAGGTTTTGGAATACTCAATATAACAGCATCAAAGAAAATGTTTAATTGTTTCCAAAATATTAGTATTTTGTTTTAAGGATCCTTCTTAATCGGGGGGTATAACTTGCTGGTAGTGCATTTGCCCAGCATGCACAAGGCCTTAGGTATGATCACCAGCACTAGGGGGGAAAAAAGAATACTTATTATTTCTCAAGTCTTCATACACTCCAATAAAACACCTTTATTATTACAAACAAAGGATGCTTTGCTATAAATCCAAAAACAGCACCTCTCTGTCACTTCCTGGTTTAAATGAAAGTCATCGCGTGGGACTGGAAGAGGAATGAGAATGTTGCAAAGGAGTAAAGGCGGAAAGCTAGCATTGATAAACAGATCAATGGAACAGAATTGGGAGTTCACAAATAAACCCTCACTTATTCAGTCAATTGATTTTCAAGAAGAGTGTCAAGATCGTCACATGAAGAACATCTTTTCAACAAAAGATGGTGTACTGGCAGGATATTCACATGCCAAAGAATAAAGTTGGACCCAAACTTCACAAAATATATATAAAGCAATTCAAAATGAATCAGAAACCTAAATGTAAGAGCTAACGCCATAAAATTCTTACAAGAAAACATAGGGGTAAATCTTCAAGACTTCGGATTCAGCAAAGGATCCTTAAATATACGACAACAAAAGCATGAACAACAAAAGAAGAAAATAATTTGAATTTCATCCACTTTAAAATTTGCTGTGCATCAAAGGTTATCAACAGTGAAAAGACAACCTTCCAGGATAAAAGAAAATATTGAGCATTATATATCTGAAAAGTGATTAATATCCAGAATACATGAAAAATTCTTACAACTTATACAACAATGAAAATTTTTAAATGAGCAGTGGATTATAATAAGCATTTCTCCATAGAAATATAAAACTGGTCAATAAGCACATGAAAAGATGTTCAACATCACTAATTATCAGGGAAATGCAAATTAAAACCACAATGAGAAAACACTTCACACCTACTAGAATGGATAGTTATCAATCAATAAAAAAATAAGTAAGTGTTGGAGAGGCATGTAGAAAATGTAAATGGTGCAGCCCCCATGGAAAAGTTTGGCAACTCCTCAAAAACATTTAAAAATAAAATTACCATAACTCAGGGGCTGGGGTTATGGCTCAGTGGTAGAGTGCTCACCTAGCATGCATGAGGCACTGGGTTCGATCCTTAGAACCACATGAATGTAAAATAAAGGTGTTTTGTCCACCTAAAACTAAAAAATAAATATTTTTTTAAAAATTACCATAATCCAGAAATTTCATTCTTAGATACAAACCTCCCCAAAAAATTAAAAGAGGACTCAAATATATACTTTCATGCAAATATTAATTGCAGCATTACTAATACTAGTCATATGATGGAAACAACTCAAGTGCCTATCAATCAATGAACGGATAAACGAAATGTAGTATATATACATACAATGGAATATCATTCAGCCATTAAAAGAAATGAAGTTCTGATACATGCTACAACATGAAGAATATAAGCTGGATATAAAAGGACAAGTACAGTATGATTCCACTTACTTGAAAAATCTAGAATAAGCGAATTCATAAGAGACAGAAAGTAAATTAAAGATTGCTAAGGGATGGGTGGGGATTGAGAATATACTAAGAATTGCAGGATATCTTCCTGGGCTTAAAAAAAAATGTTTTAAGATTGTGAGGATGGATAAACAATTTTGCAATTATGCTAAAAACCATTGGATTGTATCCTTTGGATGGGTAAATTTTATGGATATGTGAGTTATGTCTCAGTAGAGCAGCTAAAAGAAAAAAAGAGCTAGACTGCACTGATTCAGGAACCTAACTTCAGGAAAGGTTTGCACTTAGATGTTTCATACCAAGGAGAAAATAGTTGTCATCAAAAGATAGCTTTACCTTCTATTTGCACAACCAGTTCATAAGATTTAACTTTTTAGCTACTTGTTCTTCTGTGGTCTCTAATTGGTCTATTAGAATTTCTTGCTTTCATAATTTGAAACCTTTAAACAAGTGGGAGTGTTCATGTAGCTTAAATACAGCAAAAATGATTGAAACATAAAAATATGGGAAACAAAAATATTTGCATTTATTGAATATATAATTGTATAGACTCATTTTGAAAATAAACTACCTAAAAACGTGGATTACTTTGGAGTTCCTACTGTTTGTACTTGGAATTGTCACAGGAGAAGAGATATTTCTGAGGGAAAGTCCGAGGAATTCCTGGAGAGAAGGGGAAACTCCACTCAAGATAGTGGGGTCCTTGGCATTCGTTCTAGAAAGAATTTCAGCACTTAGCCAGGCGGCACACGCATATAATCCTAGCAACTCTGGAGACTGAGGCAGGAGGATTAAAAGTTTGAGGACAATTTAATGAGGCCCTAAGCAATTCAGCAAGATGCTGATTAAAAATTTTAAATTTTTTTAAATTTAAAAAATAAAAAGGGTTGGGATGTAGCTCACTGGTAAAGTGTCCCTAGGTTCAATCCCCAGTACCAAAAAACACACACAAAAAAATGTGAATTTCAGCATGTGCCAGTCAGAGACATAGATTTATTTAGGAAAGCAGAGGCACTTTCAAGGCATAATGTGGGCTATCATAAGAGTAAGAATTTTTGGAGGTAAATCAAGGAATACACATTCAAAGCAGAATATGGACCATCTCAAGAAGGAGAAACAGCAAACTGTCAGTATATCATGTTAATATTTATAGAGGGACAGTTGCTAGGGGTTGGACTAAAGGAGGAGTCATGGCCAACTTACACAATATCTCACTTGTTTTCCCTGCACTTGGCATTGCCCCAGTTACTTTTTGCAGGCCATCTCTTGGGTCAAGGGCAAGGGTTGCGTTGCTCAGGAATTGCAACTGTTCAAGGATGTTTTCTGCATTTTCAATGGTTTGTGGGCCCTTACTTTGAGATTCAGTATTTCTCCCTTTTTTTGTATCCCCAAATTCCTATCTGAGAATGATCACAGTAAATTTTCTATACGAAAAATGTGAGACACTTTCAACAAAAATCAGAACACATAAGGCTATAGTTCTGCTTGTAACATTAAATAATATAACTACTAGTATTTTAATTATAATAAATATTAAAATATCCTACAAAAAATAATAAAATCTCCACAAATGAACACATTTACATTCTTTTATAAGACTATTTTAGAATTATTCATTATTCATTATTTAGTAGTTCTAACTTCTAAATAGAACTTCTAAATAATAGAAAAGTTCTAAATCATAGAAAAGAATTTTTTTTAATATCTAGGACTGGAGATGTAGAGCGCGCACGTGTGCGCGCACACACACACACACACACACACACACAAAATTCTAAAATGAAAGAAAAGCAATAATCATGAAAAAAAGGTAAAAAAAAAAAAAAAAGGTAGAAAAAATTTATCCTACAAAAATCATGATCCTAACCTGTTTAAGTGTCTTAGAAATGCAAAGGATTTACAAAAATATTCATCTGAAACTTTTTATATTTAAAATGTTTTAGAGGATTTTCTAGATGTCACCCTTCCCCCTCCCCAGAGTAACTTTCATTTAATTTAACTTGATAAGTAATTACTAAGGTTCCACATAACTAGCTTCTACTAACTTCCATAGGAAGTGCAATAGAAGCACCAAGTTAATTCAAATACAGGTCAAGGTTTTCTCAAAAAGATAATTTTGGACCGGGGGTAGTGCATACCTGTAATCCCAGTGGTTCAGGAGGCTGAGACAGGAGGATCACAGATTTGAAGGCTGCCTGGGCAACCTTGCAAAACACCTAAATCTTTACACTTGTCTATCCCAATTTCCAGTACCTACTTTGGACCATCATGTCTCATGGGGATATTTGCAAATATCTTTAACAAGTCTTTGTATCTTAGGCTCTAATTTCATCAGGTGATTCTTATAGAAGGTTTTTAGAGTTCTCAAAAATAAAGTCATCTCAGGGAAAAAATTGAATGTTATACAAATACAACCATTTTATTTTTGAATAGTATATTACTAAGTTCTCTGTAGGAAAAAATATATATGTATATGCATCTAAATTGTGTGTATTTGAAAGAATTACAAGGAACTGACTCCTGTGATTTTGCTGGCTGATGACCCAGTTCAAGTCTGAAGGGTGGCAGATTGTTGTAGAACCAGGAAGAGCCAATTCCCAGTTCAATGGGTGTCAGGCAAAATCCCCTTTTGCTAGAAAGACAGTCAACCCTTTGTTCTAGTCAGACATTCAGTGATTGGTTGAGGCCACCTATATTACAGAACGTTCTCTACTTTGCTCATTCTATAAATTTAAAAATTAACCTCATCCAAAAAAAAAAAAAAAAAAAGAAAATCCCAGAACGCTGTGTTGGACCATATACCTGGACACCTGTGGACCAGTTAAATTTACATTATAAAATTAACCATCATCACAGGCTAGACATGGTGGTGCATGCTTATAGTCTGAGCACTTGAGAGGCTGAAGCAGAATTGCTTGATCCCTGGTGGAAGACCCCATACCAAACAAAAATGAACTTCTCTGTGCACTACACATGGTAATACCAATGTAAACAAAGCTAAGCTGTGGGCTACTGGATTCCAAACACCAGCAGCTTTAAGTTTACAGCTAAGGAATTAATAACAAAAAATGCCCACAGAACGCTTGCTATAAAATCCTTAGGAGGAATTAACCTAAAATGACTGCAACTCAAAACAATTAGAAATCAATAACATTTTTTTTCTTTTTTAACTTACGCGGTAAGCAAATAGATCAAAGAAAAGAATAGGGAGCTCATAACTGGCACTTTTACATGGTAAGTGAACAATAGATGTTGCACTGAAACAAGAGTACTTGGAGGAACAGATATACATGCAAAAATAAAAAAGATTCTAAAATCATACAATAAGAAAAAAAATTTCAGTTGGATTAAACACCTAAATATATATTTTTTAATTATTAGAAGGACTAATAGGATAATATCTTAATGACATTTCCTATTTAAAAAAACAGAACTACTATAAAAGATTGGTAAGAGTAAATTAAAAATAAAAACCATTATTCAAGGAGACTCCATAATCAAAATAGAGACAAACCAGTCTAGATAAGGTGGTTGAAATATACCTAACAGATCAAAGACAAAAATTAAAAAAGGACAAAAATAGGGTCTCAGAAATCATTCACTGCATTTTCTTGATATTCTGGTGGTTACACACATCAGCACTACTGAGTGGTGCCCAGGGACATGGATAGCAGCAGGCAAGGGACCACTAGGGCCATCTGCAGGCCAGCTACCAAATACAAATACATAAACAATAGTTTGTAGTGCTTCAAAAAATACCTGTGTACTAAAAATATGAACACACAAACTAGAATATACACCATCTCTAAGACAGTAGTTACTTTTAGGGAAGAAAGGAGGGAACAAGATCAAAGAGGTAAGTAGGCTTTCAATATATCTGAAATTAACATTTACATTTACACACACACACATAAATCTGAATAAAATAGGAAAATGCTATTTATAAAATCTTCATTGTAGGAATATACTGATTCTCTTTTTTTTTTTAAGTTGAAGATGGATTCTCTTTTTTTTTTTAAGTTGTAGATGGACACAATATTTTTATTTATTTTTATGTGGTGCTGAGGATCGAACCCAGTGCCTCACACCTGAGAGGCAAGTGTTCTACCACTGATATACAACCCTAGCCTGCAATACACTGATTCTTTAAATCGATCATTTGTCCTATTTGCAATATATCAAAAAACTTTAAAATAATAAGCCCAAAGAAATGGAAACAATATTTGCTTTTAATAAGTTTATTTTTATACATTTTAAAAATTGCAACTTTCAGAATATATAAGAAAAATATTTTTATAATACTGAAGTAAGCATCTCTTTGGTATAAAAATCACACAACATGTGTGATCTTTAACTAAAATAATTAATCAAGAACTATGACCTAATATGCTAAACAAAACTATTCTTTGCCCATCCATATGTCCCCTTGCATCACCCCCACTATGGGGCTTTAAGAATATACTTCTGTACACATCTCCATATCTACAAAGAATTAAGATGCCACATCAAATATGTTTAAAAATTATATATAGTAGAGCATTAGAACTAGCTTAGTTGTTGACACACGACACAAACCACCAAAAAGCAATATAAGATACAAGACACATAAAATAGAACATTGTCACTGAGATCAAATAATATGAAAACAATTACTTCATTTAAATTTGATATACTCGAAACAGGGCAATTTCTTTAGAATTATTATGTAAGTAACTTGCAACTCAGTACTGAGTCAAAAATTTGATAAGGTATTTTTAAGATAGTACTCAAACATTCAAAACGTAAAATACAAGAAATATTAACGATAAAAGCAATTAACCACAAATAGGGCAAAAACATGCATTCTTTCCAGACGTGTTTTCATTTCAGACATCCTTTTTTAAAAAGCATCTTAGAAAGGCAAAAAAAAAATTATATTTAAAAAACTATCATCAAAGTTCATATCCCCATTTAAAAAACAGAATGTTTTCCTTCAAGTCAATGAAGTTCAGATTCATACACTTTTGAAAAACAATTACAGTCTTCATGCTAAAAACATGAAGGAGAAAAAGCTTTTGGTTATGTTTCTCAAGTCTTTTATTCAACAAGCATTTAGCAAGTATTGTGTGACACTGTTTCAGGTGCTGAGGATATAAAAGCAAGACTTAGTCACTGGTTTTGGAGAATTTACCCTAATAGAGGTGGATTCATCATTAGAAACCTTAGTTACCTCCTTTGGGCCATAAATTGAAGCTCAACTTCAAATTCTACTATTCTTGCATCTTCTTTTAAATAATGTTCTGTGTAGTATGCTACTGGTAGCCCTGTGGCACTATTAACATTAATTATCTACTGATAGAATTAACTTCCATAAAGGATTCTACAAAAGTTTAGATGGCAGAAAGTATTTAAGAATAAACAAATATTGGTCTGCATCAAAAATATCAGTATTCTGCTTTCATAAAAGTCAAGAAAAAGTTCTGTGAGTATACAGAACTGCTGGAAAGAGATCATCCTATGTATGCAGTACATGTGCAAAAATCGTATGTTAAGAAGTATGTTACACAGTCCATTGCTGGAACAGCTAAGCAGGCCAAATCAGTTGTCAGGTTTCAAAGAATCATAGCCTTCTTTCAGGAGGTCCCGCCAGGTTTTAAGGAAACGTGCATTTTCTGTACATTTGAGGGCAAGCTCTTCCACTTGAGCTGATACTGCAGATGTGGCTTCGAGAAGTTTGGTTAGAGAAAAAGCTGCCTGAAATTTAAAAAAAAAAAAAAGTTTATTTTTAAAATTCTCTTCTCATTTTATAGTCTAAGTTAAATTCGCTCAATACTTTAAACCCAATGCCCAAATTATTTTCTTTAAAAGTAATAGATTTTCAAATTAAAATGCTAACTCTTTCAGGGAACCTAAGCAAACACTGTTCCCAGATAACACACCAGGAATTAATTTTACATATTTAGTTGTAACCAGTCTTATTCTGTAAAAATAGATCCTGATTCATCGAGAGAGAGAGAGAGAGAGAGAGAGAGAGAGAGAGAGAGAGAGAGAGAGGGGAGGGGGGGGGGGGGGGGGGGGGGGGGGGGAGGGAGGGAGAGAAAGAGACAGAAGGAAGGAAGGAAAAGAAAAGAATTTGTCGAGTTCAGTCCCCAGTTTCCAATGTGCACAGGAAGGTTTATTCCACAAGTTACCCCAGGAAGGTCATGCATTACAAACTTCACTCCACTTGCCCCACTCAAGCGTCCATAAATACGGAATTTGTGACCCCCACCACTGGGCTCCAATGGTATATGTGATAAGGTTGGGAGGCTAGGTGCTAGTTTCTGAAAGTCGGAGATTTAATAGAAATCTTCCAGACTATGCATTCTAGCGTTCATAGGGAGAAGTCCTGTACTAAACAGTTAAAGAAACCGACAGAGACGTCAGGGGCTGTGACTAAGCCCTCCCAGATGGGTCCAGCGAAAAGCAAGCCTGGGAGACAATAGCATTACCAGCTGGCTCTGGGCAGATGGCCAAGTAGAACAGCGAGCTCTAAGTCCCTCAGAAAGAAATCACAGCTGGGTCCAAATCACCAACAGGCAGCAAGGCTACCGGATCGCGCATTTAAAAGTGGGAGAAGAGCGGGCAGAAAGATCTGGCACCAACAAACGCAGATGAGATGCATGGTTTCGGGTTACAGCAGATGATTGAAACCAGAAGTCGAAGCAAAAAGACAACAGGGGTGGGGCGGTGAAGAGATAGCTCCTTAATTCCTCGACTCGAAATCTAAAGGCAGAATTTCTGTATGGGCTGGCACTTCAGCCGTTGGCATCGCCCACCCTTCGGATGTGGGAGCTGGTGTAGGGCTGGGCCCGGCTCCCTCCGTCTCCCGGGCTCGGTAGGGTCTATCTTAAAAGAGAATCCCCAAAGGGGACGCGGTCCCAGACTTATAGAGCAACGCGACACTCACATCTCCTATCTGCAGCTCCACTTCCTCCAGCGGATCCACGGTTCGGCCGCTGCTCCTGCTCGAATCCCGCCAGCCCAAACTCATTGGGACACCGGGGGAAGATGCTGAAGAAACGTCGGAAGAAGAAGGAGAGGAGGGAGGCGGTGGGGGAGGCGAAGAAACACGAAACTCCTCAGGGTCAGCCATGGGAAAAGGCTGGGACCGCAGAGCCGGACCTAAACAGCAGAACCGACACCAACAGTCTTTCAATCGCTCGCGCCCAAAGCCCAGAGGCTCCGCCTCCTCCCCCCCGAAGTCCCGCCCCGTCCTCTCGTGGATCTCAGTCCAAGACCACGAAGACTTTTCATTTTTCGCGACAGCCAATCAGACGTCAGTCAAGTCACCTTGGGCGGCTCACCGCTCCTGCGCAAACCTCCAGTTGGGCCTCCAGTTCTGTCGGGACAGAAGACTACAACTCCCAGGGTGCTGTGCGCGTCTCCCGACTCCTGCTGTCTCTTACTGCTCGTGCGCATGCGTTTTCGGGGTACCTTGCGCGACTCTCCCGCCCCAATTCGGCTTTAGAGCTAGAACTTTGGCCTCCTGGTGCGTGGGTCTAGAGGAAGTGCAGGCTCAATCCTCAACCTGAAGCCGCAGGGCGCCTGGGACTTGAAGTCTCTTTCTCTTTTGCTACTTGACCCGGAAACCTGTTTTCGCTGTCGCGTCATGCGTGGCGCCCGCGCAGAGAGGGAGGGAGGCGGGGACGCCGCGAAGCAAGGGCGGTCGGTGCATCCGAAAGGCAAACTTTAGCCGGAGAGTAGGTGTATCCTGGCAGGTGATGGCGCCCCCCGCGGCATAGAGGTCCAGCGCCCTCCGCGAGCCTCAGACAAGTTCTTCCGTGGTGTCCGACAGAGAAAGTCCTGATTATTTTGAACATGTTGGTGCGGCTAGCCAAGCTGTCCTGCCCGGGTGAGAGGGAACTCCTGGTGGGGACCAGTGGAGGAAGGTGAAGGAGTTTGGGCGAAACAGACTAGCCCACGCCTCGGGGCTGTAGACACCCCTCCCTTCCCACCTCTCGTCTATTTTCTCAGGCTAGACTGGGGCAGAGGTCGACGCTGTCTGCCTCTGGAAATGGACCCTGGCTTCCTCCCCTTGGGGTTGCCACAATTGGAAGAATTCATAACTAGGTTAAAGGTCATGGGCAGAGGAAAGTTGTCAACACGGCCCCCTCAGTGGACTTCTGAATTGAATGTTCCCAAATCTTGGTCCTAATGCACATCCCAAAGCTCGGGTGCTATTTGTTGCCTTGTTAAGAGTGGGAAAAAAATAATATTTGTACAGTTTTTCTTCTTGGTCCTGACCTGACTCGTCTTGCAGTCATCCTAGTCCAGTCTTAAGAATTTGAAGTCTGATCTGTCACATCGTGATTAACATTCATATGCTGCCCAAGTCACAAATTATATCTGGAGTTAGGAATTTTTCTGCATTATCTAAAAATAACTAGAGGCTTATCATTATGGGTGCACCTTGACGCTGTTACACGTTTTTATAAAGTTTTACTTTAAAACAATATGTATTTTTTTAATTCAAAGTCTAGAAGACCTTAAATTCCAAGTTAAAACTTGCTATATATTTTAAACGAAGTTTTGGTTATAAAATAATCCTTAAACAAGAATAAATGTTTAAAATTCAAGATGTTCGTATTAAATTTCATGAAAGTAGAATTTTGTTAAATTTGGTCCCCTTATAAAGTTTCTGTTACCCATGAATCTATTGTGCACCTAATGCATGGATATTCGTTGTTTTGTTGACCATTGGTAATGTCAGATTCTGTCTACTCTATAGCCTAATTTAGGTGTATTCAGTCTTGGCCCAGTAACTCTTTTTTCTTTAAATACTTACTCATTGCCATTTTCCTAACCTGGTGTTAGCACTAGTGTGAGCAAAGAGTTGGAACTCCAGTGTTCTGCAGTGTCCAAATCAGTGTGAGTGATATGATGGTGTTATGGGTTCAGTGGACTTGTGACTTCACTTCTTTACCAGAATTCACAGTGCCTAACTGTTGAAATCTCTAAAGTAAGAGATCTCATTTGTTTTCAGAAAAGGCTGTGACTTTTTTTTTTTTTTTTTTTTTAAGATCCCCTGGAAGAAATCAGGACTGGGGATGTAGCTTGGTAGTAGAACACCATTGATTTTAAACCCCAGTACATGGAGGTGGGGAGGATACATTCACCTTGCAATTGGGTACTAAATAAAAATAATTAGCGTTTGCCAGGCTGATCTTTATTCAAACATGTCATCTTCAGTTAATTGGAAAACAATTTTACCACAGCCTCAAATTCAGTGACTTCAGAGATAATTTCAAGTTGAGTAATAGTCTCATAACTTGACAGACTATTAAAATTGAGATTGCGTTTGAATTTATTTGTATCTTCTATAAATGGGGTTTGTAGCTGCCTCATATGTCTCATAAAGTGATGAAAGGATAAAATTCTTAGCCATCAGTATGTCCACAAAAGAGTAAATTATACAGTCCAAATCCACTGAAATTATTTTGTTAATCTTTGCTATTTACTGTTTACAACACATTTTTAGAAGTTTATTCATTTGTAGATAGATGCTTCATAGTAGTGACACTCTAAAAGTTAGGAAAGGCCCTATTGTTATTATACCAGAAATTAAACAGAGATTTGCAGGCTTCTCTATAACAGTTGTTAACTAGGAAGGCACCTATCCAGGTAACAAATAGGTATTTAAAACTTGCTTTGTGTAAGACATATTCTAGATCCTTCATAGTATTTAGAAAACAAAGATTGACTATAAACCTTATAGTAAATGGATAAGGAGAAGTAACTTGCTAAAAACATCATTGCTATTAATAAATTCAAACACTGAGGAGATAGACTTCACTTTTGTATTTTTGTGGCTGGCTTCTTCCATTTTGCAATGTTATTCACAAGGCTTATCCATGTTGTAGCATCTATCAGTACTATCAATTTTTCGTTTTTATTGCTGAGTATTATTTAATTGTATAAGTACATCACTATCCATTTACTAGTTTACATTTGGGTTTTTTCCACTTTGTGGCTATAAACATTTATGTACAAGTTTTTGTGTGGATATGTTTTCATTTATCTTTGAAAACCCTGTTTAACCTGTTTCCCAAAAAGTTGTACCATTTTATATTCCCGCTAGCAGTATGTGAGGTTTTCAATATTTCCACATCCTTGCCAGTACTGTCTTCTTGAATATAACCATCCTAGTGGATGTAAAGTGGTATTTTGTGGTTTTGATTTGCATTTCCCTATGTTCAATGATGTTGAGCATCTTTTAATGTGTTTCTTGGGGAAAACATCTATTCAAATCCTTTGCCCACTTTTTAATTGGTTTATGTGTCTTTTTGTTATTAGATATAAGATTTCTTTGTATAAACTGAAGATATTCTAGATACAAGTCTCTTATCACATATATGATTTACAATTATGCTCTCCCTTGTATGGATTATCTTTTCGTTTTCTTTTTAAAAAAATATTTTTAGATGTAGATGGGCATAATAACTTTATTTATTTTTTTAATGTGGTGCTGAAGATCAAATCTAGTGCCTCACACATGCTAGGCAAGTGCTCTACCACAGCCACAACCCCAGGCCACTTTTCACTTTCTTAAGGGTATCCTTAGAAGCACAAAAGTTTTTCATTTTGATGAAATGCAGTTTAATTATTTTTTTCTTTTGTTTGTGCTTTTGGTTGTCATATCAATGATTTACACCAATATTTTATAGTTTTAACTCTTATATTTGAGTCTTTGAACTTCTTTTTGAGTTAATTTTTATACTACCATAATATTCCACCATGCGACCAGCGCACTGGTTTCATTAAAGAGGTTCTTGGCATAAAAGTTAGCTAGTGAGATCAAAATAAACACACAGACTCAATTACCTTTTTCTATGACCAGGTCCTAGACGGCTCTCACCTCTCTGGCTCACACCTCGAACCACCCGGTAGAGCAGCAAGGATTACTCAGGGCTAGCAGGAGAGAGAGGCAGAGCACGCCAGGGAGTGGCCTTTTATTGGGGAACAAGAAATTCAGGGGAAAATTCCATCCAATGAAGGTCGAGGGGGGCAGCACTCCAAGGTCAGGGTCAGTGATTGGCCTCAGGGTCAGTGGTCAGTCACACCCCCACACAGACAGGCTCTCACACCAGGAGAGGGTGGGGAAAGCTCCGACACAGTTTAGCCAGAGTGCCTCACACCCAATCCGGGAGTTGCCCAATCACGTGTGAGAATGGCTTCCCACACATAATCTTTTAACTTTTTATTTCAAAATAATTTTTAACTTAGATGAGTTGCTAAGATAATACAGAGTTCCCATATACCCTTTGCTAAGCTTAATGTCTTACATAACCATAGAATAATTATCAAAACTGAGAAATTAACATTAATGAAATACTACTAATTAACTACAAACTTTATTCAGATTTCCTTTTTCTGTTCCAGTATTCAGTCCAGAGTACCACCTTGCTTTTACTTGGTCTACTTAATTGTGACAGTCCCTATATTAATTCTTATCTTTCATGACCTTGAGACTTTTATGTATATTTATCAGGTATTTTGTAGAATGTCTCTCAATCTGAGTTTGTCTTGTGATTTATCTTGATTACAAAGAGATTAAAGATTTTGAGCATGTATTCTGTAGAAGTGAAGAATCGTTTTCATTGCAGCATATTGATGTATGATACCAATAGGTCTTGCTGGTGATATTTAAACTTGATCACTTGGTTAAAGTCATATTTCTCTACTGTAAAGGTGATATTTTTCTTTTTTAGTATTCTTTCTTGCTAGAAGCTATTCTATAAGTCCAGCTCACATTCAAAGGGAGGAAAATTAAAGATTTTTATGGGCATATCTCAGTTTTTTATACTGTGATATTTCTGTCAAAATCTTTGTTGAAAGGGAATTTATTTGGCATAAGGAATAGGATATACATTTTTCCAAATGGCTTTCATCTATTTTTGTACCTCTAATAAGTGACTATCTCCTCATGATTTGGAATAGCATCTTTATCATATACACATCCTTTCGTGTATTCTACTTCTGAACTCTTTTTATTTGTTCATTATTCTGTCCCTTCTCTTGTTTATTAGATAGTTTTTAAATATCTAAAATTCACAAACTTTGTGACCAAATGCTAACTGAATTGCCTATCTAAGAAAGAATAGAATCTGCTCACATTTGAATCATTTTTTAAGAAGCCATTCAAGCGGGGCTCAGTTTCACATGCCTGGAATC